TTCTATGCCTGACCATCACCATATACTACTTATGTGGATATAAGTAACCCATATCAAAAGAGTCCCCCCTTTAAAGCATTTGTTCATGCGGTGGTTCTGCTCGCCATGCCACTTTTTCTTTCACTGCAGTCTGTGCCAAACTATTCGTCAGAATGTCGAGTCTGAGGCGAGCCGACCCCCATAGCTTCGTCGACCTGCACCAACATCCGACATCCACTAACAACCTGGGACGTCCAACACCTGTACTTTTGACCAAGTCACAGAATGACATAATGACCTTAATTTATGTTCATACCATATATTTTAGGACTTCATCATTGGTTGATATTAAAACTGTACATGAATCATCCATGAATATAGCTATATTTAAGCATAAGGAATTTTAATGTAGTCCAAAAAACTAATCCATATTTTTCAAATCACAACCAATGGTCTGCGGATAACAAAACGTACTTTAACCAGGAAATAGAGAAGTAATCTAGATTGACATAAATGATTAAATAATAAAATTATACTAAGTCAACTTACTCCTGTTGACTTCAAGTAACGACTTCTCACCCAATTATGAACGTATTCCGGCGTAGATGGCAAATTGCTTAAAAAAAGCATTGTGAATGGAACTCCAAGATATATTGTTACCCGAAATCCTTCACGAAACCAATGTCTTAGTGCCTTCCAAATAAATTTAATAAACCAAGGATTAGGAGTACATTTTAAGTTGAAAACTGAACCTTTAAATTAGCGAATTAGTACAATGCTTAAAATGAGTTATGCAATAAAGAAGGAATCTAAAAGTTGTCAATTCGCTGATTGAAAATCATTGGATTAGTCAAATGATTAAGCGACTAGTACTGATTTAATTTATCTCCGCCTGTAGTCCCGCAGGTCCCAAGCCCGGGTGAAGGAGGAGAGTTGGGCATGGGGCTAGGGACCCAGCCCGTAGAAAACCAACTCGCTAAAAAAACGCTAACCAGAAAAATTATTCAAATCACTTAAACTCTGCCCTGGGAGTTGAAGGAATAATTATGACGTCTCATGATGAAAGCCGAGTTCCTTCGGAAGTCATGAGGCCGATGCACCTTCTTACAACCAGAGCGACAATTTTTATAGGTACATGGAATGTCCGGACAATGTGGGAGACCTGAAGAGTCCTCCAAATCGCTGCACAAATGAGGAGACACAACTTGGAGGTGCTTGGAATCAGTGAAACACATTGGACGCTGATTGGACAACAACGACTATCTTCAGGAGAACTTCTGTTATACTCCGGTCATGAAGAAGAAAATGACCTACATACACAAGGAGTGGCATTGATGCTGTCCAGAAAAGCACAAAATGCACATATTGGATGGGAATCTCATGAACCAAGGATCATCAAAGCCTCCTTCAAAACAAAGAGAGAGGGCATTACAATAAACATCATACAATGCTATGCGCCGACCAACGACTAGGATGAAGACGCTAAAGACCAATTCTACGATAGGCTGCAATCGATCTTCGAGAAATGCCCAAACAAGGACCTGACCATTCTGATGGGAAATTTCAATGCTAAAGTTGGAATGAACAACACTGGATACGAAGACGTCATAGGACAACATGGACTGGGAGGAAGGAACGAAAATGGTGAGAGATTTGCAAACCTATGTGCCTTCAATAAACTGGTCCCACGCAAACGCATACACTAAGCCATATGGACTTCACCGGATCACACTACGCAAAACCAAATAAACCATATCTGCATCAACAAAAAGTTCAGGAGGACGATGGAGGATGTGAGAACCAGAAGAGGAGCTGATATAGCATCCGATCATCATTTGCTGGTCGCCAAGATGAAACTAAAACTCAAGAAGCAGTGGACAACGGTGCGGACAACATCACAAAAGTTTAATACGTCCTTTCTTCAAGATGCTGACAAACTCAACAAATTCAACATAGCCCTCAGCAACAGGTTCCAGGCCTTTCATGATCTACTCAATGGAGAGGGAACTACTATAGAGAGCAACTGGAAAGGGGTAAAAGAGGCAATCACTTCAACATATCATGAAGTTCTGGGCCACAAGAAGCACCATCACAAGGAATGGATCACTGTTGGTACACTGGATAAGATTGAAGAAAGGAGGAACAAGAAGGCAGCAATCAATACCAGCCGAACAATAACAGAGAAAGCCGAAGCACAAGCCGAATAGACAGAAGTAAACAAGCAAGTGAAGAGGAGTATCAGAACCGACAAACGTTAATATGTGGAAGATCTAGCAATGACGGCAGAAAAGGCTGCAAGAGAAAGAAACATGAGACAACTGCATGACTCAACAAATTCAACATAGCCCTCAGCAACAGGTTCCAGGCCTTTCATGATCTACTCAATGGAGAGGGAACGACTATGGAGAGTAACTGGAAAGGTATCAAGGAGGCAATCGTTTCAACATGTCAGGAGGTTCTGGCGATCTCAGCAAGTGCGACAACTACAGGGGCATCACTCTCCTCTCAATACCAGGAAAAGTCTTCAACAGGGTATTGTTAAACAGAACGAAGGATTCCGTAGACGCCCAACTTCAAGATCAACAGGCTGGATTTCGTAAGGATCGATCGTGTACAGACCAAATTGCAACTCTACGGAACATTGTGGAACAATCAATTAAATGGAATTCCTCACTCTACATCAACTTCATTGACTACGAGAAAGCATTCGATAGTGTGGACAGGGCAACACTATGGATGCTTCTTTGATACTACGGCGTACCTGAGATAGTCAATATCATACGGAATTTGTATGATGGATTAAACTGCCAAATCGTTCATAGAGGACAGTTGAAAGACTCATTAGAGGTAAAGACCGGTGTCAGGCAAGGTTGCTTACTCTTACCCTTTCTCTTTCTCCTGGTGATCGACTGGATTATGAAAACGTCAACATCTGGAGGGAAGCATGGGATACAATGGACAGCTGGAATGCAGCTGGACGATTTAGACTTCGCAGATGATCTGGCTCTTCTATCACACACGCAACAACAAATGCAGGAGATGACCAGTGTAGGCAGCAGCCTCAACAGCACTAGGTCTCAATGTACACAAAGGGAAAAGCAAGATTCTCCGATACAACACAGCATACAACAATCAAATCACACTCGACGGAGAAGTTATGAAAGATGTAAAAACTTTTACATCATTGATGAACACGGTGGATCTGATGCAAATGTGAAGGCGCGGATCAGCAAAGCGAGAACAGCATATCTACAATTGAAGAACATCTGGAACTCAAAACAACTGTCAACCAACACCAAGATCAGAATATTCAATACAAATATCAAGACAGTTCTACTGTATGGGGTGAAAACCTGGAGAACTACGAAAGCCATCGTCCAGAAGATACAGGTGTTTATCAACAGTTGTCTACGCAAAATACTTCGGATCCGTCGACCAGACACTATCAGCAACAACCTATTGTGGGAGATAACAAACCAGATTCCATCCAGCGGAGGAAGAAACCAGGAAAAGGAGTTGGAGGTGGTTAGGACACACATTGAGATCACCCAAATGCGTCACATGACAAGCCCTCTCATGGAGTCCTGAAGGCCAAAGAACATATTACGCCGAGAACTGGAAACGGACATGAGAAGTGGATAGAACTAGAAAGGCCCAGGACAGTGGGTTGGAGAATGCTAGTCAACGGCCTATGCTCCATCGGGGGTAACAGGCGTAAGCAAGTATTGATTTATTCTCCTCGTTGGGGAAATGTTATGTAGCTAATATGTTTAACAGTATTAGGTTGGAATGAACTGGATAATCTTGTTCAGATGTGATCAGGAACAATTAGAACCCTAATTCATCTTTGATATAATAATGAAGTTACCTAAATATTATTTGAAGGACACATCTGTTGGGTATTTATTAACCAATATATATTTTTTATTATAATCTGCTCTGCGAAATATTACCCGATTATAATTTAGATACACCATATTTGTTTATTAGAGTAATTCTTTTATTTAACCGAATTACGGCAAAAACTGAATATTTTTTCCACCTTTCAGCTTGTGATTTACCTTTAGTGTAAGTAGTTGTCAAATACCGCAGTTTTTTAAGTTATCACTGAGCAACCTAAATTTGGCTGTAGAGTGAATCGATCAGTAATGATTCAGTGCATATTTCAGGAAATGTCACAGACAAAGATATCATGAAACAGGAACACCCAGTACGATAAACGTTTTTTTCTCTGAAATTCGATTCAATACTGTTCAATACAATTTCGAAAATTAACAGAATTCTGTTGATCAACTGAAAACGTGCCATTTGTAGAGTTCTTATGAAATTATGACTGCAAATTGCAGTTTTATGAAGAGTTGAGAAATTTTCGAGTAATTAACATTATTTGCGGATATCTAGCAAGATGTTATTCTACTTTTCTGGTCAAAACTAAACACATCAAAATTTGCATTTTGCTTCATTAGTAGTTTTTCTTCCAAGTAGCTTATGAAATAAAACTCCATGCATAGTCACAAGTCAGAAGTGTGTCTCGTATAATACACTTCAGTAGATGAGTTATTACTCAAACCATCACAAAAGAAACATAACCTCAGACAAGATGGGCTCATATAGTCTTCTTAAAGGTAAACACCTAAGAGCTGAAACCTACGTAAACTATAAAATACCCAATCGAATCAGTAGCAGAGAAAATATTGCGTAAACAAGTGCCTATTAGGAGTCATAAGCAACTAATTAGCATTTCGTCATGTAGTCCATTATATTTAACAGACGAGATATGTACTGAAAATATCCTCAGACAGTATTATTTCCAAAAAAGTATTGAAATCCAGAAGTTTAGAATAAGACTAAGCTCAAGGATCCCGACCAATAATTCTATAGCCGGGGTCAGCTTCTAACCCATATACCACTTGAAATTTGAATCGCTGAAATACTATGCAAATATTTTTATTTTAATGTCTTCCATACGCCACTTAGTTTACTTTCAAGTTTCAAAAAATTTATCGTACCTTAATAGAACACTGGATACAATGTCAATGCGTAAAGTAATACGTTCATAAAACTCGAATGTTAACCAAATTACAAACAAGTCGGAATCTTTACACATTTCTTACAGCATGTCATCAACAAGATGAAATGTCTGCTCTAATATTCTTCGAAAATAAATTCAATTTAAACGAAGCAAACAAGAAATAGTGTCTCACGAACATACCAGAACAAGAAAAAATGAATTTAAATATGTTTGTGTAGAATGAATTTATTTACAATATACACAAAAATGCATACACATAAAAATTTTGCATAGTTTGATATACTACTCTTATAAGAAAATATAAACAAGAAAATAACATATCACAACAAAACTATGCAGATCCAATAGACATGGGTATCCATTTTTTCAACAATTCATCGGTGTACAGATCATCAACGAGACTGGATAGATCCATTTTAATTTTCTATTATTATAAGACAAAAAGCAATGAAAAGAGTTGATATACATCAGAAGAAGAAAACGAACTGAAAGGATAAAATCACGATAGTTACGTCTAGTATTCACTGATCATTTTTATATTTCATTGTGGAAATTCCATACAATTAGTGCTGATGTAATTGTCAAGCTTCATAATGTGATATACTACTATCAGTCATCAAAAACAAAGGGTCAAATAATTGTTACTATTATTTTGAGTAGTAAATCTATATTGTTAAACATGATAATAGATTACATGTACAGGGTTCGTAGCAAATTGATTAGGATTCCAATGCGACTTAACTTTAAAAGGTCTACTGATTAAAGAAATAATTATCACTGTACGGTAGTAATTATTACAGTCCTGTCGATTGACAACTCGTATGGTAATTATCATAGATGACAGCTATATCTTGGTACTTTACTTGAAAATTCACACGCCGCAAAATAGCGTCCTAAAAAGATCCGTCAACCAATAACAGTCACGGATTTACGAGTGGAAAATGTAAGCTGTAGGTCAGCTAAGTGTCTCTTGGAGCGAAAACATAGAATTCAAACTTGTAAAATGAAATTACAAAAGGAGGACCTTTTTCAAGTGAGTTCTAGGGATTTAACGTCCTCAACATATGTATACTTCGATAACAAGCAGAAATTATCCAACTAGAGTCAGATATAGGGCCACTAAAATGGGGTCGTATTAGCTTTGGTAGACTACTCATGTAGAAATATGGACTGAATAAAAAGAAGACGACAATGATTCGATATGATAAAGTGTAATCTAAGGAGAGGTAGAATATATCAAAAGCTATATACCACAAGAACTTTACTAACGATAATTGACAAAAAGGTCTATTTCCAGTTACAAAAAATTATGTTGCATGGCAAAAAAGTTACCTGGATGAGTGATTGCATTATAAACTCTATACATAGAATTTGGCCTATGATGAATAACCAGTGTACCTGATTCAGCACTTAAGAAAGTCGCTACTGGTGTAAAAAAAATAACTAATATTAACGTTAAATGGCTTTGTTATTCAGTCATATGGGTTAGAAACTCCGTCTGGAGCCCCTCTGGGTTACTGCCGTTCCCAAGCCCGGATAAAGGAGGAGGGTTGGGAGTAGGGTTAGCTACCCCTTCCCGTAGAAAACTAACTCACTAAAGAAAACTCTAACCAGAAATAATTCATATGAATTAGAGTGATTATATGGAGCATCAGTTGTACATGCATCTTACTAATTAGTTTTGTTGACCGATTTCAATAAATGGACACCTATTAGTGCAACATGAGTCATCCTGTTTAATAGAAATGTAAAAACGATCGGCAAAAATCGAACAACTCTGATAAATGAACAATATGACACCGGTAGCCCTTAAGTAATCAATCATTATTTAGAAATCTTTGCTGAGTAAAGAAAAACTCACTTCAATCTCTTTGGTTCTTACAAACTCATCGGTATTTGTATATGCTTCACGAAGGCGTTGTTCTAATACATTTCTCCTTTGTACAGCTGACAAACACTTATTATAAATAACTTTCTCAATATCATCCACATAGCCTTCAGCCGTTCCTGAAGTAAGTGTCACTTTTTGTTGATCGCTTTTATCAGAGACATTTTCTTTAATATTGACAAGGGAATTAGTCATTAATTGAGGTGAAGTCCCAGGTCTTTGAACACTCTTCTTTTTGGAAGATAAGCTTGAAAAAGACGGGCTGTACGTAAGAAAACGAAAACGCCCCAAGGGAGTACAATAAAATAACAGATAGTAAGCAATAACATTTGGTTAACAAGAATAAATCTTTAAACTTTGCTAGCTGCAACTGATATTCGTACTTAGAGTGAATAAACACTAGTTTCGGTGATAGCTTATAGTTTCCGTAAACAGCTTATTTTGAACACCATCAGTCGAAACAAATAATTATAAAGCAAAGATAATGAGGCCAATTGAGGTACTTATTTTTACTATATACTTTAAGTACATATGAGCTCTAGAGGACAAAATATCCCGTTTGAACATATTTATAGAAAGGTTTACAATCATTTCATACCCCAAACAAATCAGAAGTAGCTGTGTCACTCAACTTTTAACTAATGAATCGTGGGTTCCAAATCAGTTCTACCTCTTAAACAAATAGAGCAGTTCATATTTCAGTATACAATCCTGTATAGTTGGGGGATTGCACAAGTAGATAATAGCTTGTACAAGGATTATGTAAATGAATTACGAAGTTCATAGAATAAATGATTCCGCATAAATTCATTTTCTACAATATAGTGGTCGTTCCACTTATATGAATGCAATTTACTAGTTAGTATGTTGATAACTTTAGACAATTCATCATTAATAATGTAAATAATATCTGATAAAAGAAACTAAGTCAATGACTTTAATTTCTAGATACATCGATGGTTTGAAGGCAAATTTGATAACTATCGGTAAGTATTATAAAAATCACATCAAGCGATTAATTAACACCAGTTGACACTTCGATTGAAAACGTAGAGTGAATAAATCAACTGACTATTGCAGACATTTGTGACTGCACTTAAATAAAGGACTTTGTACAAAGAAACCCTTTTCGTAATGACTGACAATGCGAACCGCAAAGTATGCTGGGTATGTTAATTAAGCAGACAATTATGATGGCCTTCGTTCCTTAAATACCTGTGCAGTGACAAAAATTATGATATTTCTAGCTCAGGAAATATATGTTTATGTGAAACTGTCATTCACGCTAAGGTCACTGAGAGTAAATGTTGAAATAAAATTGACGGTTGCCATGTTATTGGAGGAATACTGATTTTTTTAAAAACAAATCTAAAGTATGTCCTCGTGTACACAACATGCATAAAGTTTTAAAAAAGTTCAATATAAATGATATGCAATAGTGCAAATATTAATATAATTGACTATGGACAATATAAAAGCTCATTAATTCTATGATGCAAAATTGCTAACAAAATAACATACTTTCATAGTTGAAAGCGTGAGTCAACGGAAGCTAGACCACCAGGGAAAACCTGGAAGCACTGGACGGCCGTTTCGTCCTATTGTGGAACTTCTCAGAAGTGCGCATCCACGACCTCGCCTCATGAGATTCCAGGTTTTCCCGATGGTCTAGCTTCAATTGACTCACGCTTTTAACTATGAAAATACTAAATCTCTGCAAAAACCCCTCCTGAAAATAACATACTGTTTAAATTTTACAATTACGTCCTGTTTTATTACTTAAATAAAAATCTTAAAACACTTCATTTTCAGAAATAGAATAGTCAGTGGAAGTATGAACCAGTGGTAGCTTAAACAGTCAACTTAAATCACTAGATTTTACACCATATTTCATTTTAGTTTAGACGACGAAGTAAATTTTAATTCTGACGAAATAAATATAGCTCTCCATGTCAAGTACAAAAACTCATTTGTGATTTAAGCAGCGAATATTTTATTAAAGAAAATTTTATTACTTGTTTATGATGAGATGCTTATTTATTCTAGATCAGATGGCTTATTATAGTTAGTGTTAAGTATCAAAGACAAACTGAGTCGTTAGTCTATAAAAATTGAAAGAACTCAGAGAAAAGAATAGAATTGTCTTTTACAAATGGTGGGACTAAGAGCAATAAGAATAACAACTGGTCTGTATAACTTACATGTTAGATGGAATATCTGAGTTTCGTATCTTCTACAAAAGAAATGTAAAAAGTAACTAAGAGAAAAATGACTTGGTTAGAATTTATAGTTAACAAATTTTAAGTACTGATTAAGTTATTTAGATAATATCAAATTTAAGCATCGTATAAAAATGGTAATGACGTAATAATACTGTGGGTATATGAGCAAAACTTCAGGAAATATACTTCTGAAATTATGGCAATTTCTATACGTCTATTACTTTTTACTTACATAAGTAAATAGTTAATAGAAATGAACTTCATTAGAGTCATGAGATAGTTAAAACTCATATAAAGTTGAAAATCTAAAGTAAGATTAAATTTGTACAGGCTCAAGCCCTAAGTTTATCAACTGTCATTTAGATCTAGTCCTTAAATTATTTACAAAATCACTAGTGATTTTAAAAAATCGGCTGAAATTCAAACATTTATAGCTAGCATTTTAATGTGTTGCTTGTGCCACTTTTTAGTAGATGAAAATGTGCTAACGATGATAACATTAATATTTTACTTCCTATCCAAGATTTGAACATGAAGTCGATTCTCCCAACTATACAAAACATATAGACATGGATTAAGACTTGAAAACTTTCCAAAAGTTAAATCAGTTTAAGTTCCCATAACATGAAAACAGAAATTTAAAAAGGGTGGACAAACAAATTATGGAATGGATAAATGATGAATAAATAAGATGCTTAGAATTTAAAGAAAAATAAATGAATAGATTTTATGACCTTGCAACCAATGTTGCGTCAGGTCCCCTGAAGTTTCAGATCAACATATTTTTAACATTTCCGAAACGCTATATGGATAACTTATACTTCCATTTAGGGTTTATTTTTACACGTTGTAATGATTATCCTTAGTTTTCGCAATTTGAACGTGCAGTAACGCTATGCACAAAAAATTACCAACAATTAATTTGTTAACCCTGGTAAATTTGTATTATTTTAACTCACTCTACTTGAGATCAAAATACATTTTTCGATGTCTAGAAACATGTAAGTCACCAAATCTGAGAGCTAACAGTCAGAAAAATCTGCACACAAATGCACATAAGATACTTTCAAAAATGTATAATTGTCCCACTTTAACCAGGACACAAAACGATTTATGGGGTGATGACTCATAGTTTTAACAAAAAGCCGAAAACTTTATAATTATGTTATCAAAAAACATTATATCTTATTTTTAAACAACAGGCGTGAAGCCAATACAACTCACATTGTTACCGACCGAAGTTTTCGCCATCTTCGGTGGAGGCCCGGATAGCGAATTTCTTCTCAAATTTCTGAGTTCATCAAAATAGAAACTGAATTAAATTTCACAACTTTTTGGCATGAAGCTTCTTAATTCCTAGGCTGCAGTACAAAAGCCTCTAATAAATAATTCATATTGAAAAAATGACAACTCAGAAATAACTAAATTCAGTATCTTCTTTAATGCATCCCATTTAACGAGTACAGATATATGTAATCCGCTTTGGGAAACACCGTTATTGTGATGGCTAGTGGCAATACTCAGTTGCTTAAGCTGAATCGGATGAAGGGGAATTCGAACTTTTAACATATTGATCGAAATCCGAATGCCGTAAACACTAAGCCACCGCAACGGTTTACCGAAACAGCTATTGATCGTCAATGTTCAAACTCGACCGGTCTCGATTTTGTGCTAGGATATGCGAACTTTTGTTTTTCAGTACCGTAATTGAAAATATGGCTACTAAGTTGTCCTGTTAGGAACAGATAATCTACGGAAAAGTATTATTTACAGTGATTAGTCACTGATTAGTAGTTAGTGTCATTTTAATAAGTACTAAATTTATTGCGTTGCTCTCCCTCTAAATGAAAATTGTTGCTTCAACACTGGTCTGCGTCAACACCTGAACCAAGGATATGGAGTTAAGTAGTTGAACACGTCGACAACTTCACTTATCTTGGAAGTGTTGTGGTGTGGGTTACTGATATCCACATAAGTAGTATATGGTGATGGTCGGACATTGAATGTATTTCAGTAGAAGATCGATAAGGAGAGAACGGGAACGGCACACAATTGGTACGAAAATGCATGAACAACTATGATCGGAGACTATGGAGGGATATTTGCAGAAGGATCAGCCAAAATAAGACAATTGATTGTTATTTTGCAAATGAACTGTTAACTATATGCTTCTCATATTTTAATGAGATATTCTTTATTGTTGTGCTAAAATACACTCGATTATCCCCATCCGTGTTCTGTTCACTATAGTGTGATCAGCCCGAATGGGTTGGCGTCTGATGGACTCTCAGCACAGATTCAAAAGGCTCGTTTGATATTTCCCAACTTACGTCACCTACGGCGAAAGCAAGATATCCGTCCATCAACTAAAAAACGAGTATACTGCACAGTAGTCCGTTCTGTTCTAATTCATGGCTGCGGAACTTGACCAATAAGTGTACAGAATACGCCTCAGTTACTAGTATTTGATCACAAATGTCTTAAAAATATTGCCAGAATCTGTTGGGATCACCGGGTAAGTAATAGTGAGGTTAGACACAGAGTATCAAGGAATGATGGTAAATCAGTTGGTCAGGTTGTGAATCTTCATCGACTGAGATGGTTAGGCCACGTCTTACGTATATCTGGACACCGATTACTACGACGCGCAATGCTGAATAGTGCTAGAGATGGTTGTAAGAAAGTTAGGAGCGGCCAAACTAAACACAAATGAATGAAATGACGAACTCTATTGACGATTCTATTCCTGCTCATATTATAAGCAAGACAATTAACATTATTATTATTACCTTTATTATTATTATTATTATTATTATTATTATTATTACTTACTTACCATATCGCTAATTCACCCCCTTTTACCCCCAATTTGTGTAACCTTACTCTTCAACTTATGCAGCAGCTCGCTCTTGGTGGAAAATCTGTCCTATCTAAACGATCTCCAGTCACTGTCTGGTTGAAAGTGAATGCTTCCACCGATAATGAATACTGAGGCAGTCTTTCTGAAACCACGTACGCCGTTCAAGCTGGCTTCCTTCAACGTTCGCACACTAATGCAGATCAGACAACAGATGGGGCTGGCTATGTCTTTGGAAGGTCTTAATGTTGATGTTTGCTGTCTATCCGAGACCCGTATTCAAGACTCTAGTGAAGTACTACAAATCCGCTCTCCATCTGTCTCCTCGAAAAGCTTGTTCCACGTGCGCTTATCCGGGGACCCTGTGGCATCTTCGTCTGGTCTTGCTGGCGTTGGTGTCGCACTAAGCGCTAGGGCTGAGGCAGCACTAATCGATTGGTTCCCCATTAACAGTCGGTTATGTGCTGTTAGATTAGAAAGTTCCATCAAAGTGAGAAGAAACCGGCGTGAGAAACGGTGTCTTTTCGTCATCTCCGCCTATGCTCCGACAGATTGCAGCCCGGATGCAATCAAGGATGAGTTTTACCATCAGTTAACAGTTCTTCTCCAGAAAGCGCGTTCGACAGATATTGTAGTACTAGCCGGAGACTTGGATGCACAGGTCGGGCGTCTAGGCACAGAAGAGAGTCGTCTAGGTGGCCGATGGGGACTTGTTGGTCGCAGGACAGATAACGGGGACCGTTTGCTGCAACTGTGCACAGACCACAACCTGTTTCTGGCCAGCACTAGCTTCCGGCACAGTCATCGCCGGTGTGCCACCTGGCGTCCTCCCTCTGCATCCCAAGCCTGGACTCAGATTGATCACATCGCGATCAGCTACCGCTGGCGTGGTTGTGTACAAGACTGCCGCTCCTTTTGGAGTACCTATCTGGAGTCTGATCATGCCCTGGTCTGCGCCAATCTCACCTTACTTTTCAGTGGCCGAAGGATTGACCACCACCAACGGATTGATGTTAGTAAACTGGCTGCAACTCCTGTTGCAAGTAAGTACCGAGCGGAGCTAGCCTCTAGGCTAGCTAACACCCCACCGAAAAGTATAGATGAGCATTGGTTGCATCTTCACGACGCCATGAAAATGGCGAGTAAAGCCGCTTGCGGCTTCGCGAAACGTCCCGCTTACAAGCACTGGGTTTCTTCTGGCTCCTTACAACTGATGGAAGCCCGTCGGTCTACTCCGGGTGACCGTGAGTTTGACCACAAACGAAGGCTGTTACGTAATGAAATCGGGCAAAGCTTGCGTAAGGACCGGGAAGCCTGGTGGTCGGAGCGTGCTAATGAGATGGAAGCAGCAGCTGCATCTGGTAACTGCCGGAAGCTCTTCCAACTCATCCGAGCCACTGGCAGCAAGAAGTCTGGTGTGAGTGAAACAATCTACGAGGATGATGGGATGCCAATCACTAACATCTCCCGACGTCTTGGACGATGGGCGGAATTTTTCGAAGGGCAGTTCAACTGGCCTGCTGCTCCGGCAACATCAACCAGCTTGTCCAGCCCCCCATGGCCGGTGACGACTGATCCACCAAACGAGGCGGAAGTCCGCAAGGAACTCCAACTCTTGAAGCGCTACAAATCACCTGGTCCAGATGACTTACCTCCGGCTCTTTTTAAAGATGGTGGCGACTTTCTGACTAAGGAATTGACTGTGTTGTTTGGAAAGGTTTGGGGAGCAAGAAAGTGTTCCAACATCATGGAATGAGTCAATAGTCGTCCCTATCTTTAAAAAGGGTTCGCGTTGTTCCTGCAATAACTATCGGGGGATAAGTCTACTTCCGATTGCGTCCAAACTATTGGCTTCTATCATTCTTTGTAGGTTGTTTAAAACCCGAGAACGATTGACTCGCGAGGAGCAGGCTGGTTTTCGTTCTGGTCGAGGATGCATTGATCACATCTTCACCCTCCGCCAAATGTTAGAACACCGTCATACTTATCGCAGGCCAACAATCGTAGTGTTTCTTGATATCAGAGCTGCCTTCGATTCGTTGGACAGGACTGTTCTCTGGGATTGTCTATTGAAGAAGGGTGTGTCTGAGAAGTTCATTAACATCTTAAAGGCCCTGTACACGAACACCTCAGGCAGAGTGAGGGCATACAACCATCTTTCTCCCTTGTTCCATTCGAACAGTGGGGTGAGGCAGGGTTGCCCGATCTCACCATTCCTCTTCAACTTTGCTATCGACGACATCCTGGAAACAGCTCTGATGGATGTAAGTAATGGCGGTGTGGATATGTTGCCTGGAGAACGACTTCTCGACCTTGAGTATGCGGATGATATTGTCTTACTGTGCGATAATGCCCAAGGCATGCAATCAGCACTTAATCAGTTGGCAATCAGTGTCCGCAGGTACGGCATGTGCTTTGCACCCTCCAAGTGCAAAGTACTTCTACAAGACTGGCAGGATTCTAATCCTGTACTCACCCTGGATGGTGAGCAGATCGAAGTAGTTGAGAAGTTCGTGTATCTAGGTAGCTATATAAGTGCTGGTGGTGGCGTGAGTCATGAGGTTGATGCACGTATAAGGAAAGCCAGATCGGCTTATGCCAATCTGGGCCATCTTTGGCGCCTTCGTGATGTTAGTCTGGCTGTAAAAAGTCGGATTTACAACGCGTCGGTGAGAGCAGTTTTGCTCTATGCTTGTGAAACCTGGCCTCTCCGAGTTGAGGATGTTAGACGTCTCTCTGTGTTCGATCATCGTTGTCTCCGAAGGATTGCTGCCATACAGTGGCAACACCATGTTAGTAATGCAGAGGTTCGGCATCGTGTGTTCGGGCGCAGAGACGTTAATTCAATTGGTGTCACCATCTTGAAACACCGACTTCGGTGGCTTGGACATGTTTTACGAATGTCGTCCCAGAGACTTCCACGTCGTGCATTATTTGCCGACCCTGGGACTGGTTGGAAAAAGCGGAGAGGAGGTCAGTGTATGACATGGTGTCGTGGCATGAAAGAGAGTTGCAAAGGGCTAGCTTCTGTTGGTCCTTCACGACTCCTTGGTTGGGGTCCGAGAGATGGTGCAACACAGTGGCTAGGGACGTTATCAGATATGGCTCAGAATAGAAGCCAGTGGCGATCCTGCTGCAACCTTCTTTTACTTTCTACATAAAGTATGGTTCTTACTTTCCTATTTGAAAGAGTCTTCTGGTTGTACATTTTAGTCCGCCTTATCTTTTCATCCCTTCTCTTCCTACTTTCATTATTTTGTGTGGCGCATATGTACCTGGTGCCCTTTTGTACCAATATATATGTGTTTAAATAAATAAATAATAATAATAAATAAACTAAAACGTAGCATCAGTCCATAAAGTCACCAACTTCTGGTCTGAGTCATCTCGGTAGATGCACACTACTTGATTGGGGTCCACGCGACTATCGTAACTAATGGTTGGAGACTCTGAGTGACATGGTTCAAAATCGATCATAATGGGGTAAATGTATACACTCTTTGTCTTCCCTGAAACCATGACATTAAAATTGCTTTATACCTCTCTCTCTACGAACTAATTCTTTCTTCCGGTATTATATCCTTATATATTACTACCACTAAAGTAACTACTTCTATGAATTTGGTGTTCATCGTGTTGTGCTAATGAGGTGTAGCAACTTAGATCGATGCATATATACGCCTCGTCCTACGTTGTAGCCAATTGAGTGAGGTACTAAACTTAACTTATTAAAGTGGTAATATAACTAATAGACTACGTGACTTGTACTATATTTTAACAATAACTAGTACAATATTTCTATGGATAAAGTATTTTTTAAAACTTTCACTTTTAATTTTATTAAAGACAGGAAATGTGTATAAATGTCTAACATCCAGCTTTAGCCTTCCAGAATTTTCATCTATAAGCATGGTCTAGCGAATGATCGCCAGTCATCGACTTAACTTTCGATAAGTGAAAAATGTTGATTAAATAGATCTAACTAACGGAAGCCAAGTTCATCTAGAAAATATTATTTATGATCATTTGTAGTTTAAGATACAATACATTTTCTGTATAGCCTCTTTCATGAAAATGCAAAGTAGCAGTGATATTACACGTGACTGAGAAGTGCTGTTATTTAGGCCCACAAGTATAGGCCTAAAATTGCTTAACTACTAAATACAAGTACACGATTACAATTATCTCTGAAGTAACGCTGGCATGTTAGAACTATTGTAAGGAGTCTTGGAATGAGTCAGCTGATGAACATAAACGACTAAGGAGAATGGGATTTCAACTAGAATACGTCATGACACCAATGACTACAAAATGTGATATTAAATGCTGTCTGCATAAACGCAGAATTGAAGTCTTCAAAAAAATAGAAGCGACCATGAATTCAGTAAGTATTGAACTGAATTTTGTAAAGTATATGTTTAAAGTCCCTAAAATATTGAAAGCCAATAACTGGAAGTTCTAATCAATACGTATTAAAATTGAGTTAAAAACCATTCATATTTCATCTTTCAATCTCGAATATTTTACTAGCCTAAACCTAAAATCTCCTTTCTCGTTAATTACCTATTCATTTATACATTGTTAAACTTACTAGTATAAAGAGTAATGATCTAAATGAATCTACTTTTGCGTCGTGTTATACATTACTTGTCTATAGCACTAGTTAAGGATAGCAAAGCTCCCACAAAGTGAACAAGAAAATAACAAGTGGTAGATATAAGCAACTCTAAACCATAACTGTGTGTATTAGTCAGCAAAATTGGTGGATTGATATAAGCTTGACATACTTTCTAGCCTTTGTATTGCGTTCGTCTTTAATTAACGAAGCCGATTTTAACTGATAGTCAAGAGCTTTAATCCTAAAATAAATGATCATATTAATTAAAACTGTTTTGGTCTTACTTTTGTTGGCGACTGTTTTCCACTTCCTTAACAAGATTTTCACGTGCTTTAACAAAGCTGTCATCAGTGGCTTTAGTTCTATATCTATACTGGATATTTTGTAGACACTTTCCACTGCAATAAATCAAATATAATAAAAACAAATATGTTTTTTATAGTTAGAATTCAAAAACCGATTGAAAGGTACTCAAATATTAAAACTATGTCTCACATTTCTACATTACACCTATTTTGCTGTGAAAAGTGCTAATAGTTCCACTACTCTGAAAGATTTTCATACAAAGTTACGCAAACAACACGATAGTTTAAAATTACAATAGAGACGAGCTTTTGAGTGGAAGGTATGAAACTAGAAAAATTAAGGTGCAAATAAAATAACCCGAATACATGATTTTGTGTCAAATTAAGGGGTTCAAACTAGCATACTTGGAGTTGATGGGTTCCTGTCTGTGAAGAAATTTACTCATGCAATTAACTCTGGATTGTCATAATTGCAATGAGAATCGAAATTCTGCCTGTAATTCCAAATCAAAAGAGCTTTTTGCACTAAGGGAAAACTAATCTATCTAGAAATGATCCCAAATAAATCCCTAATGATGTGGAATAGCACTTTATAAATCCAGAATCGTTGACTGTTGTCTTGCCAAAGGATATGAGAGTAAAGAGAACAACCACAATCCTAATCTATATTTTGAAATTCACCTGATAAAATTTGGCAATCAAACTCGAAAAACTACACCATAAAGCACATATTACGCAGAGCACTCCATATTATCTGAACGGACTTCCCATAAATTGGTGGAATTGACATAATAACGTATTATCACGAGATGTTAGCTAGTAACATAAAACCTATTTCTATAACTAAAAATATCAATAAAAAGGCAATGCCTGTAATTCCAAATCAAAAGAGCTTTTTGCACTAAGGGAAAACTAATCTATCTAGAAATGATCCCAAATAAATCCCTAATGATGTGGAATAGCACTTTATAAATCCAGAATCGTTGACTGTTGTCTTGCCAAAGGATATGAGAGTAAAGAGAACAACCACAATCCTAATCTATATTTTGAAATTCACCTGATAAAATTTGGCAATCAAACTCGAAAAACTACACCATAAAGCACATATTACGCAGAGCACTCCATATTATCTGAACGGACTTCCCATAAATTGGTGGAATTGACATAATAACGTATTATCACGAGATGTTAGCTAGTAACATAAAACCTATTTCTATAACTAAAAATATCAATAAAAAGGCAATGCATATGCATTTCTGAAAAATAACCAATACGATTATGACTTCCCGTACAGCTATGATAGACGGAATCAACAAATCCTGTGATGAAAATATACTTTTCGATATGTGATTACGTCAAAGTTGTTGAAAGAGATTTCGAGGTACACTAAGTAAGAGGGCTATTGGTGCATTCTGGCAGACCAAACAGATATAATTGAGATGAATTTTGAACTACCAACCAAATGGACAAAATTTTAACACTTTGACCACCAAACTACTGCACTACTAAGGATTGAAACTGGTTTAATGAAAGGTGAAGAGATTTTGGATATAGTGGTAAAGAACAGAAATTAACCAAAATTGAAAACCTGGCACCAACCTAGTGTCAGTAATTACTGGTTAAAACCAACCTAAGTCCGGCAAATAAGCAGTATTTAAAGACTCCAAGGAAAATTATGGACTTACACTGATTTCTTAACATTGACGAGCGAGAAATATACTGTACCATGGTCGGGTTCGAGCTCATAAACGGAATCCGATCCTGAGGTAGTCACTACAATCTTCTAGAAAAAATAAAAGAGTTGGTAAAAGGGAGGGACCGGTAGTTAACCAGATAAAACGAACTACTACAACTTGATAACAACTTGTTTTGGCTTTCCACTATGACGGAAATCACATCCGTGCTTACTTATATCAATCATTCGTCCTTACTTAAATTTTTGTTAACAGATCAAATGACTACTAGTAGAAACGTATGATTGATTGATGTGTTTTAAGCACTTCGTTTTCAACTTGAGGATTTCGGTCACCCAGATTTAAGACAGACTTAATTATGCTGAATGAATGCTTGAAAATCTAGGCCAACCCAAGAAAGGAATTGGACGACCTATCCCATTTACTACTAAAGTATTTAAAAGTTTTTAATATGAACGAGATTACTACAAAATGATTGGACGATAAGCTAGAAAAAGGGCTAGTGAGCCGAATAATGATATGAACTTAACAAATGGTTCAAATGGTTGAGGACGGAATAGAAGAAGCTTTCGCTTAACGGGCTTCCGTGTCTGGTAGCAGTGGATCACCAATACCTACAGGCAAGAACCTAGGTATATGAACGATAATAGAGGAAAAAAAGTTTGGTAAATCATAATAATATGTTATCCTTAGTCCTTAAGAATAAGTCAAGTTTTCTCTTAAAGGACTCCTGGGAGGTCGCTTGGACTAGCTCAGCCGGCAGCGAATTCCAGTACTTGACAACTCTAACGGAGTAGAAGTTGTGTCTGCAGTCTGTTCTGCTATGTAGGGTCTCCAATTTCTGGGTGTTACCTCTGAGGTTAGTGTTATGACTAAGCTTAAGAAGTTGTTTAAGGGGATGACCAGAATACAACAGGAATGACTAAAAGAACTATCATGTGAGTTTCTAACAAATCGCTCTCCCTGAATAATTTTTCGACTTGCAGAAATAACTAGTAGAAGTATTATGAAAGGACAACAAAAAAGCCATAGACATTAAAACATACCGGATTTTGCTGCGGTTCACAAACGAGTACGATCTTACCGCCCTAAAATATTAGTAGGAGAATAAATCATATTTACGTTTTGTTTAATGTTTTCCAGAGAACATAGAAGACTCTCAGTCAATCTCAGATGAATAAACTGACATTTGTTACTTCGCATCGCCGTAATTCAAATACGTCGACACATTCAGTCTTCAGTCTTCAGTAATAAGGATAGTAGGTTGGTGAACCTGTGTTAATCCTGATAGATTGCCTTATAGTGAAGGCCCGGCCTCTCCTTGAAAATGTTCACAGATGGAGCTGATACCACTTGTTCGGGTAAGGCGTTCCAGTCATTGATCACTCGCTGAGAAAAACGGGACCCCCCCCCTTTAGTTTATTAGATCGCGGTTTGTGAAACTTCTTGCTATGACGTCGGATAAGACATATTAACACCCAAATCATAATTAAAGATACGAAATGCCATTATAAGGTCACTTCGCGTCCTACGATAAGATAAGGGGAAAAGGTTTAAACGTTTCGAACGCTCATCATTTTAGAAAGACCCTTCACTAATTTCGTCTCCGCACTCTGGACACGCTCAAGTGAGTTAGTATCCTTTATCAGACATGGGCTAGCTGTTTGGATACGGTACTCTAAGTGTGGTCTTACGTAGGTGGGATGTAAAATTCGAAACATCTCGTCGAAGCATTTGAATGCTCAGCGAAGTGACCATAACGCACGATAACTTTTGGAAGCAGCTGTGTTGCAGTGTGTAGTTGTTTTCAAGTCGTGACTTATTACTACTCCTAAGTCTTTGTGTTCTTGAACGCGTGGAAGAGATGTACCATTAATGGTATGATGGTCACCATTACCGTGTCCGATGTGCGTGAGCACGCTCTTCCTAGAATTAACTTCTAGAAGGAAAAATAGAGGACCCAAGATGGTGCCTAGGATTATACCACTTTTGATCGGCCTCCATTCGGATAGCGTTCCATTAACCCTTACTCTCTGTCTGCGGTCACATAAGAAGTTTCCTATGCATTCCTGTACAGCACCTGTTGTTCCGGAACTCGAGAGCTTCTGTGTAAGACCTAAGTGTGAAACATTGTCAAATGCTTTGCTAAAATCTATAAATATCATGCCGACAAACAGGCAGTTATCTAGGGCTGTTGTCTGACCCTCTCTCGCAATAAGTAAGTTAGTCAAGCACGAACGCTTGTTACGAAACCCATGTTGCTCGGGAGTTAACAGATTGTACGAATCTATGTGACTTTGTAACTAAACCCAAAATATCTTCTCAAGTAACCTAACGACTATGTTGGTTAGACTGACAGGCCCGCAATTAGATACAACCTGTCTCTCACCATTCTTAAATATAAGACTGACTATAACATCTTTCCGATCTCTAGGGAGTTGAGCTAGTGAAAGGGACATGTCGAAGAGCGTCGCGAGGGGCCTTGAAATAATATCCGCAAGCCATGACAGCAAGCGTGGATATTATAGCAACCATCCTACAATCAATTTCGATTATAGCCAATTTTGGTTAAGCCCTTCTTATAACTTACTTAACAGACATCGTTATTTGGATAGTAACAATTTGCATATATCTTTGCACTGTTAAACCACTAGAGCACATGACGCTCAATCCGAAATGTTGACTACTTAAATATCACTCGATGACTTACACTCCTCCCCATATATGTACGCACACAAATATTATTATCAGCCTTGTTTTGGTTTTCTGTGCCCTTATTAAATTTGACTATAAATTGCCTATGTAATTGCTTGCTATTCACTCGCTTTCTCCTCGTTCGTTTCCTTCGCTTGTTCGCCTGTTCATTCGCTCTCTCGCTTGCCGCTCACTCGCTCGTTGATATTCGCTCAGGTGTTTTAACTTTCTGACCTGAGTTATTCGACAATAAACTGCAGTTGCTGCTATCCTTTGTCTTCTGATTTTACGCGCCGTTAAGATTAGAATTATAACGGTTATCGAAGCAAACGATTAGCGAATCGCGGCACTACAATATAACCCATCGAGGCCCGGTATCTTACAAGGTTTGAGGTCAGTTATTGATGGAAGAACAGTTTCCTCAGTCATGTGTATAGATCCTATGGCTGGTATCTCAGTGTAAATGGGATAAGAGTTGTAACACCACTACACGTAGAGTAGATTTCACTAAAATAGTTTGAAAAAGTCTCATCTTTTGCCAGATCAGGTTCAGCTAGTGAATCTGAATTTTCGTGTAACAATAGTGGGGAAGTATCATCACAATGTTTTGTTCGCCGTTTAACGTGCTAAAACAATCGCTTCGGACAAGTACGGCTATCATATGCCAACTGTCGTTCATAAGCGGTACGGGATTTAGCTATGGTCTTTCGACGTATATTCCGGATTTTTCTATATTCGCACTTAAATGATGTCTTTTCTGTTGGCAAGAATAATTCCCAGAAGTGTTTCCTACTCTTCAACAACTTTCGGGTTTCCTTATTAATCCATGGAGGGCAATGTGATTGTGTACGTGTTGACCTGGGATAAACGGTTGTGTTACGGACTCGAATGTAGCCTTAAACCTACTCCATTCGTCTTCGATTGATCCATCATCATCGACCAACCAGTCAATCAAGATAGCTAAGTCTCTGATTGCCGGAATATTAGCTCTCCAGATATTAGGAAGGGGTTGTTCTTATAATCTCAAATTTTTCACACCTGTAATCTCATGCGTTTGAAATCGATATCGATAAAACTAACCATACCCTGCGAATAGAATGTGTTTGTCTGGTAATACCTTATGTACTTATTTGTCACATTATCCCTATTCTACAGACCAGGTATCATAAAGTTGCAGCATCAGACTTTAGAATTTTTCAGTAAGGACTGAAGGCCTACGGCTTGTGTCAGTCCTTTTCCGGTAAACTTCTGAGAGTGTCTGGTCTTCTCTCGGTAGAAGAGAGTGAAAAAGTCTAACTTCTCAAGCTGCTTTTTTCATGTTAAACCCCATAGTTCTGGAGTTGTAGGGGTATCCGCTCTCTGTACTTTTCGCACGATGTCTGAGCAACCTTGAAAACGAGGACATTCGGCGTGGACGCAGTTTTCAGGTTTGAATCTCACTAGGGATGTGTATACTGTAGTGAAAACATTAGTATCTAACTTAGTAAATGTTGGTCTTTAAGCCCAGACGGTTCTAAAACCCTTAGCTGCAAAGTCCTGGCAGTGGGCCATGCTCTTAAGATCATGGCTAACTGTCAACCCAAGATCTTCGTGAGACCGGACCACGGGTACAGACACTGTCCTTATGCTGTACGTGTTGTGTCCCTATTGTGTCCCGAAAGTCCATGTAGATATACTTTGCTGCGTTGACAGGCACCAGCCACTTTTTAGACCAACTAATCACAATACTTAAGTCCGCTTGAAGTGCTCACACATCTGTGTCTCTCGTTATTTCTCGCCAGATTTTTACATCATCAGCGTATAATAACATTGGGGATGCAAGTATACATGGGAGCTCATTTACATACAGTATAAAAAGTAAAGAACCTAGGACAGAATCTTGCGGTACTCCACTAAGTACAGGTCTCCAGGTGTAGCATTTTGAACTCAATCTTACTTCCTGTCTAAGATCTACTAGAAAATCCTTAAGTCATCTAGGGAGAGGTCGGATATTGCCTTGATTTTCCAGCTTCAAGAGCAGTCTGTGTGTTGACACCCTGTCAAATGCTTTGCTGAATCTATGTAGACAACATCCTCTGGTTTTCCACTATCTAGAGCCTTTACCAACTGCTCTTATTCTATAAGAAGACCTTTTGCGCAAGGCAACAGTTTCCTGAAACCATGTTGTTCACTGTCCAATAAGTTGTTCGTTTCAACGAATGTTATTGTGGTCTTCCTCACTATTTTTTCAAGTATCTTAAACACAACATTAGTTAGGGTGACTGGTCTGTAGTTTAATGGAAGTTGTCTTGATCATGTTTTATGCATTGAAGTGACAATGACATCTCAGTCCGTAGGTAACTCAACTCGGCTAAGTGAAATACTGAATATAGTAGTCAATGGGGCAATGTTGGCCATATCCGGTGAGATCTCTAATGTGCTGAAATAAAGATGAGACAACTTTGGCTTTGTTGTATCCCGAAAAGAATTGTGAAGGATAATTTTTGAGGACTATTTATGGACCAATGTGATACGTATATTTCCTATCATATAATTGTTAAGTAACTAATCTAATCGTATTCATGTTCCTCTTATCATTAGCTTTATTTTGACCTATGGACTATTATTATACAATTTACCATTCTTGATTTATCCCCGGTCTATTGATTACTGTTCCCCCTATTTACAGCCACATTTGGCTAAATCTTGTATAAATGTTATTTCCTATTTTATTGTGCGTTGTGGTCTGTTTGATTGGTATATTAACCCAGTATGTTTGTGAATAATGATTCATACTGCAGAGGCTGTTATTGGTGTTCTGGACTTAACTGGTTGGGCTAGGCAGAAAGCAGAACTGACAAGTACTCAAGATTGCTCATACGGCTTTTGTGTATCATTGCTGCGATCGATAATTCGCTCTTCTCTCGTTGGCGTGAATCAGCACGTGCATATATCAAACAGGGCATGCACGCACTAGCACGTTATAACAGGTTCCTAACGTTTTGTAGTTAAATCATGTTTCGCTCAAAAATTTTACAATGTGAAAACCCTTAGAAGTAAGGATTTCACCGTTCCGGCTGCGATTATTTATTTCTATCTCTGCCAATCGTCTCTTGATACAACCAATCAGTATGAGATCATCATGAACATACATTCTGATTCCAGTCAGTTTGAGTGAATTTTTCAGTATTAGGTGTCTTCCTTCGGTGGAAGCAATGGTAACTTTTAAGAGACAGTTTTTCTGTGTAACTTTCAGAAACCCTTTTTTATCCTATTCCATAAAGCTTATAGACGCTAGCTTCTGCTACTATTTCTGGAACCTAATGTGACTTAGGTCATGTTCAGATCCGGCTCTTAGTCCTTTTCTGGTAGATTCTCCTAATTTATGAGGAATGACTGGCCTGTTAGCGAAGTCCCTCTCAACAAGCTGTAAAGTTTTACCTCCTGTATTCTTCTCATAACTACGACCTGGTTAAGATTCTCATGAACATATATTCCGAGTCCTGTTGCGGAAAAGCAACAGGAGATCAGTATGCCCATCAAACAAACGGTGAGAGCGTTCTAACAATCCATTTGCTTGTGGATGTTAGGCGGTCGTTCGGAAGCGAGTGATTCCAAATAATGTGGTCAGACAACGGAAAAGTCCAGATTCGAACTGTCGTCCGCGGTCTGTAGTGATGGTTGAAGGGCAGCCGAAATTCGCTACCCATCGTTCGACGAAGGCGCCACTGTTTCAGCAGTAATGTCCTTAATAGATACTGCTACAGGCCATCGAGTGTAACGGTCTACGCAGGTTAAAAGATTGAATCTGATCAAGGTCCTACCAAATCCAGATGAACATGGTCGAAACGAGCATCAGGAGTTTTGAACGGACCTAGGGGAACTTTGTTGTGTCTTATGACCTTAGATTTCTGGCAGCTTACACTGGAGCGTGACCACTCCCTCACGTCTGTATCCATACCAGTCCAGCAAAACCGCTCTGTTATAAGCTTGATGAATGCACGAACACCTAGATGAGAAAGATTGTGCAACGTATTGAAGACGTTGCGTCGCTAATGTTTCGGCACGATTGGGCTATCCCCACCTGTAGATGTGTCACATAGTAAGGTCCCCTTACCTATTCCTATCTGTTTAATGCACAGTGTCTTCTTTTTGAAGGTGGGCGAGTTTAAGAAGGTCGATTCCTTGGAAGCTGTCCAAGGAAATTGTACAGGACGAGGCGTCTACAACTACATTGTTTGCTCCAGAAATATGTTGTATGTCTGATGTAGACTGTTAAATGTAGTCCACTCGCCAAGACTCATGAGGTGGGTACTTGTCTGGAGATGAGCTTAAAGAGAAAGTAAGGGGCTTATGATTAGTAAATAGGGTGAATTCTCGGCCTTCGTTGAAAATGTCGTACAGCGCAATACATAGCTAGGAGTTCCCTACCAAAAGTGCTGTATCTTGATTCAGTGTCTAGCAACCGTCTCGAGATAATTCCCAAAGGTTGCCGAGAGTGGTTAACACATTGTTGTAAGACTCCTCCGGTTTCTGAGTCGGATGCGTCTACTGCGATACTAATGGGCGCTTGAGTGTATTGATGTACTAGCAAGGTTGCCTTTGCAATAGGTTCCTTAATTGTTGAGAATGCTTTTCGCGCAGTGCCGTCTACACTAATTGACCATGCATTTCCACGAAGTTGGTCGGTCAGTGGTTTCATGAGGCATGCGCATTTTGGTATGAACCGTCCGTAGAAACTTACAATACCGTTGAAAGTGTGCAACTGCTTAATCGTGGTCGGTTCTGGGTAATCCAGAATGGCCGCCACTTTGCTTCTAAGAGGTGGGATGCTTTGCGCATCAATAGTGTGTCCCCGGAAATCTAAGGAGTCGATTCCGATTTGACATTTCTGAGTGTTTACAGTAATGCCATGCTTTTGAAGTTGTTCGGAAACAAGTTTTAGATGCTGGAGATGGGATTCTCTATCCGGAATTGCTACTAGACAGTCATCAACATACGCATGCACGAAGTTGAGATCTCTGAAAACGTTATCTACGAACCTCTGGAAAGTCTGGTCAACATTAATTGGGCCGAAAGGCTTTCGTGAAAATTAGTAGAGTACGAAGGGAGTGACTATAGCGGTTTTTGAAATATCGTCAGTAGCTACTGAGATTTGGTCGTAAGCTCTAACCAAGTCGATTATCGAAAACAGTTTTGCCTTTCAAGGAAGCTGTTAAATCGTAAATTTGAGGCAACGGGTAACGATCGGGAATGGTGTTCGCACTGAAACGTCGATAGTAACCAGTTGGATGTCAATCGTTGCTGTCTTTTTTATGGACCATATGCAAAGGAGATGCTCACAGGCTGTTTGACTGTCGAATGATTCCTAACTCTATCATGGGGTGGAATTCGCTTTTAGTGAATCTTGGCTTTTCAGGAGCCAAGTGGTGCGCTTTCGAGAATGCAGATGGTACTGTAGCCGTGATGCGATGTGTAACGTTGCTGGTTACATAAGGCAGAGTACTTATTGAGTAATGGTTAATAGAATGGGTCCATTGTGTGTCTAATTTTTAATAGAGGTGACCTGCAACCGGATAAATAAGTTACATAAACAGATAAATTCGTGTTTCCGTCTGCTTGCCTCTGTTTGCGTGTATCGATGAGTAGATTTTTTGTGTCGTAGGAGGTTTATACCAATATTGACATAGAAACATCTGCGACAACGAAGATCCAGTGAATGAGTTTGCGTCAACCCACGTCGGGGTAAATGTACCTTTAACCATATGTGGCGATTGGCTTTCCGTTTGCGCTTGTAAGTTTAATGCAGAGTCGTGACATCTGTCGTCGGAATTTGCGGGAAGAACGCTAACTTCTGCGCCAGTGTCGAAGAGGTAGCGAACTTTCGTGATCACATCTGTGACGTATAAAAGGCTGCTATGTTCGCCGGCTGAGGTGTCCGTTAACGTGTGCCGGCTGGGAAGTTTCCCGAGTTTTGTTTCGTGTCAGTGGATTTGGAGTTCGGATAATTGCGTGTTACCTGCAATTTCTGGAAGACTTACCATACTGGTTATGATACCAGCTCCATTCGGGGTTGCTGCCTAAGTGGGACACTTCTACACGGGGTTTTTGACCGCCTACAGTCATTATGAACTCTAAGATAACGCGTAAGTGTATAATATAATTCTGTGATATCATTCTGGGTCGTTTAAGGTTTTTCTTCGACTGAAAAAACCTTTGGTTATGTCGATGCTAAAACTCTTTTGACCTTGTATATGGTATTTGTGCGTCTTAAACTTGAGTAATGCATACAAGTCTCTGGCCTTTGCCTAAAAAAGACTGACCTTTTGGCAAAGGTTTAGGGAACTGCAACTAAGCTGATTCCTGGAATGGCGAAGCTCCCGTTTGACGCTCAACTGGCTGAGCTAAAGCCATTCTTGTTGTCATATCGAAGAACTAGAGGTGACATGATTACAGTTTTCAAGTTAATTAGTGATAAATTCGCTCCTGTCTTCCAAAACAGAAAATTTACGAGGACACTCTAAACAAATTCACAAGCTCAGGACAAACTAATTGTCAGATGACTATTCGCTTTCCAATAGAACCATCAACAAGTGGAATTCATCACCTTAGCACGTTATGCGACTCTGTGCTTCATGTTTCTGTATTTTTGACATCTTGTCAATTGAGTCTTCGGTTTATCTAACTGCGGGATTTCGACTTGTTCAAGGCTGACTGGGTTGCTCAAGGTCGTTGGGGCGAGAGTGTGGTAAGCCTATGCCCGACCCGTTATGGCGTGCTCGAAAATTAACGTTGTCAATTTTTAGTTCCAACTATCAGTACTTTTTTCATCGCTGTCCATCGTTGACAAATTTCACAAATTTAACCTACGCTACTCTGCGTTTTTCCACTGAATCAAAAAACTTTAGATCTGGACACCAATAGCCTCTTTAACTCTTTAATGCTTATGTGGCAAACTCAGATGTACACCTCAATTTAGTGGCAAGTTTGAGCTACTCATGAAAGCTCAGCCTCTCCATCTAACGAGAACAGAGTAAATATAGTTACATATTACTTACAATGCTAGGTCTAGGACTTAGGTTCAATATTGTGGTTTAGATTAAAATTAATAATTAGAGTTTGGGTTATTGTGTAGTTTGTGTATTAAAATCGAAGTCAAGATTTATAGTTTAGATTTATAGTTAAACCTAAATATAAAACATAACTTGAGTTATGATTTACGGCATATATATATATATATATATATATATATATATATATGTATATATATATAAGTATCCCAAATCCTGGTCTTTACGCGGAAGCTGAGTTCTTAGTGTTCTGTATTTGAACACAAACATTGGTACAAGGAGGCACCAAATACATATGCGCCGTGTAAGTCATTTGATTTGCTTGAGAGCTGGAATACTTACCGAGTGCCCGAAACGAAGCAGGCAATTTTCTTAGGAGCCACTTCCTGAGCCGTTGATCTAGAGGTACAATGCCCTGGTACGGCCGCGAGTGGGGAGGGCCCGTCCTCTCGAAATGCTTCTTGAACCAACTGTTAACTGATTGTGGATGAATTCATGCTCATTCAATTTTTATTCGTATGTCATATTTTATTTCATCTTTTAATGAGGATATGAGCACAACTTCCATCTCAATAAATGACACGTAAACTATATGAGTACTTGCAAAATTTCTAGCAGCTCTTGCTCTAACGCTCATTAATAAACACTTATACCTAATCGTGTACTTTATCTAGAACCATTTTACTCATAGTTATTGGCCACTCAAACCGTAGAAGAGCAGTGTAAACCTAATAATGAGTCCTTGTAAGCTGCTTGATTTAACTACAGTTCACTCATCACTCTTAATGTTTATTTCTGGTATTCTGCAGCTGCACACTATTTTTCGTTTAAAGAAGTCTGGAAACCAGTAAGGTAGTATCAAGGTTTGTTTTTGTATACAATAAAGACTAAATGAATAAAAACACACGTTTATAGTGTATTTTTATTGATTCCGTTGCTGTTACTCACAACCTATAGGTATGAAAATTTGAAGTTCAGTGGATTGCGTTTACACATACAATGTCCTCACCAGTTGACCCAGAAGAATACTCGTTTGTTGCGTATGGCGATCCTTTTAGTGATGATGAAGATGGTTTGTTTTCGATTTAATAAAGGTCATTTGTTATTAGAACAAAGCAGATTTCGTGGCCTTGCTTTGGGTAAACGTAAAGCTATTCCATCCGCCTATGAAAACCGAGTACTGAATGAAAAGGGTCGGCCTATGAGGTTTCACGGGGCATTCACTGGAGGATTTTCTGCTGGATATTTTAATTCAGTTGGGTCTAAAGAGGGTAAATCCAGAAGTTACTTGCTTTTTTTATACTGTTTAGTAAATTTTTTTGTATGATTTCTGGGAATCCTAGTTTGAGTTGTATGGCAACACCTACTTACGCCTTAACTTTCGTGGAGGAGCATAGGCCGCCCACCAACATTCAACCTTGTCCTGGGCAATCCTTTCCAGTTATTTCCAGTTGTTATTCATCCTTTTCATATCTGATTCTATTTCCCGGCGTAATGTGTTCTTTGGCCTTCCTCTTTTCCGCTTCCCTTCAGGATTCCAAGTTAGGGATTGCCTCGTGATGCAGTTTGGTGGTTTCCCCAATGTATGTCCTATCTACTTCTAGAGTCTTTGCCTAATCTCTTCATCAAGTGGAAGCTGGTTTGTTCTCTTCTATAGTAGGCTGTTGCTGATGGTATCCAGCCAACGGACATTGAGTATCTTACGTAGACAATCGTTTATGAATACTTGTACCTTTTTGATGATGGTTGTTGTAGTTCTCCAAGTTTCGGCTCCATACAGTAGAGCTGTCTTGACGTCTGTATTGAAAATTCTGACTTTGATACTGGTCGACGGTTGTCTTGAGTTCCATGTGTTGTTCAACTGTAGGAATGCTGTCCTTGCTTTGCCAATCCTCGCCTTTACACCTGCACCCGATCCTCCTTGTTCATCGATGATGCTTCCCAGGTCCGTGGAAGATTTCACATCTTCCAGATCTTTTCCATCAATTGTGATTTGTTTGGTGTTCTCTGTGTTGTATTTTAGGATGCTGCTTTTTCTTTGTGTATGTTGAGGCCTGTTGCTGCAGATGGTACAGCCACGTTTTGTTGTCTTCACCTTCTCCGAAAAGCTAGGCGTTCTGATGTAGTAATAGTGCTGGTGACTCTAATGCTCAAGTAGGTAAACTAAGTAAAAGGGAAAAACACCTGGGTGGATCTTATGACGTCATGGCGAAAAGAACAGATAATGGCGACCGTCTGTTGCGGCTTTGCTCAGATAACCGCCTATTTCTTGCAAATACTAACTTTAAGCATAAGGAAAAACATCTTTTGACATGGCGAATTTATCCCAACGTCGTAGTGTTTCTTGATATCAGGGCTGCCTTCGATTCGTTGGACAGGACTGTTCTCTGGGATTGTCTATTGAAGAAGGGTGTGCCTGAGAAGTTCATTAACATCTTAAAGGCCCTGTATACGAACACCTCAGGCAGAGTGAGGGCATACAACCATCTTTCTCCCTTGTTCCATTCGAGCAGTGGGGTTAGGCAGGGTTGCCCGATCTCACCATTCCTCTTCAACTTTGCCATCGACGACATCCTGGAAACAGCTCTGGTGGATGTAAGTAATGGCGGTGTGGATATGTTGCCTGGAGAACGACTTCTAGACCTTGAGTATGCGGATGATATTGTCTTACTGTGCGATAATGCCCAAGGCATGCAATCAGCACTTAATCAGTTGGCAATCAGTGTCCGCAGGTACGGCATGTGCTTTGCACCCTCCAAGTGCAAAGTACTCCTACAAGACTGGCAGGATTCTCATCCTGTACTCACCTTGGATGGTGAGCAGATTGAAGTAGTTGAGAAGTTCATGTATCTAGGTAGCTATATAAGTGCTGGTGGTGGCGTGAGTGATGAGGTTGATGCACGTATAATGAAAGCCAGAGCCGTAAAAGGTCGGATCTACAACGCGTCGGTGAGAGCAGTTTTGCTCTATGCTTGTGAAACCTGGCCTCTCCGAGTTGAGGATGTTAGACGTCTCTCTGTGTTCGATCATCGTTGTCTCCGAAGGATTGCTGCCATACAGTGGCAACACCATGTTAGTAATGCAGAGGTTCGGCATCGTGTGTTCGGGCGCAGAGACGTTAATTCAATTGGTGTCACCATCTTGAAACACCGACTTCGGTGGCTTGGACATGTTTTACGAATGTCGTCCCAGAGACTTCCACGTCGTGCATTATTTGCCGACCCTGGGACTGGTTGGAAAAAGCGGAGAGGAGGTCAGTGTATGACATGGTGTCGTGGCATGAAAGAGAGCTGCAAAGGGCTAGCTTCTGTTGGTCCTTCACGACTCCTTGGTTGGGGTCCGAGAGATGGTGCAACACAGTGGCTAGGGACGTTATCAGATATGGCTCAGAATAGAAGCCAGTGGCGATCCTGCTGCAACCTTCTTTTACTTTCTACATAAAGAGTGGTTCTAACTTTTTTAACTGAAAGAGTCTTCTGGTTGTACATTTTAGTCCGCGTTATCTTTTCATCCTTTCCCTTCCTACTTTCATTATTTTGTGTGGCGCATATGTACCTGGTGCCCTTTTGTACCAATATATATGTGTTTAAATAAATAAAATAAATAAATGGACCCAATTAGATCACATCGCTATCAGCCACCGATGGAGGGGCTGGATAGAAGACTGTCGCTCATTCTGCAGCACATGTTTAGACTCAGATCATGCTGTAGTGCGAGCGCGTATCTGTCTGCGTCTTACTGGACGTAGGAAAGACACTACAGGGAAGCCTCTAAGGATACCACTTAATGATAGGCCAGCTAAGAATATATTTTAGGAACAACTGGAAAAACAGTTAGGCATACATCTAAGTAGTGCCCACCCCGAGGCAGCGTGTAATGACATCCGAAAAGCTGTGGAAACAGCAGTGATATCCGCTAGTAAGGTAAACCATAAGGTTAGGGAGAAACAATGGATCTCGGCAGCATCTACCGCACTGATAGATGCTCAAAAATTCATCTCATCCGGCTCTGAACATAACGAAGAGCGGAGTCAGCTTAAGCACAGGCTAATAAGAAGCCTACGTAATGATCGTGAACAGTGTTGGGTAGCGAAAGCAAGAGAGATGGAAAAGGCAGCGGCAATAGGTAACAGTAGGCAGCTATTCAGACTCGTTAAAGAAACCGGTATTGGGAACCCGACTATCTCGGAAAAAGATGGACATATTATTCATTCTCAATCCAGGAGATTGGATCGATGGGCAGAACACTTTAGGGATCAGTTCAACTGGCCTTCAGCCACACTTCAGTTACCCACGATCCCCAGTCGTCCTGAACGGCAAATTGAGGTAAGTCCTCCAACTCTCTACGAGGTTGAAAAAGCCATAGGAAACCTGAAGCGAGGGAGAACAGCAGGCCCTGATAAGTTTACTCCTGAGATTTTTAAGGATGGTGGTCCAGTACTAGCAGTGAGATTGACTGAGATTTTGGGTAGAATCTGGGAACTGGACTTCATTCCATCTGACTGGTCCCAATCACTGATTGTGCCAGTCTCTAAGAAAGGACAAAAGTCCTTTTGTGACAATCACAGAGGGATCAGTTGGACTAATATAGTGCCTAAAATATTAGCTTCAATAATACTTGGACGCCTAACCAAAGCTCGTGAAGAGTAGACTAGAGGACATCAGGCTGGTTTTCGACCTGAACGTGTTTGCATAGACCAGATATTCACACTACGTCAGGTCCTAGAACATAGACATACGTTCAGACGTCCCACAATAGTAGTATTTCTTGACCTTAAGGCGGCATTTGACTCCGTTGATCGTGAGGTTCTATGGCAGTGTTTGTCACTGAAAGGAGTACCAGAGAAGTACATTAACCTCATAAAGGCTCTCTACTCGAACACAACTGGTCGAGTTAGAGCCTATGGCGAACTGTCATCAGAGTTGGTTACCTCAAGTGGTGTTCGTTAGGGCTGTCCACTCTCCCAATTCTTGTTTAACTTTGTCATTGACACACTTTTAGAGATAACACTTTCATCAGCTAAACCTCCAGGAGTTGAACTTTTACCGGGAGGCTCACTTGCTGACTTAGAATACGCTGACGACATAGTTTTATTTGGTGAAGACGCTGACAAAATGCAGAGTCTTCTGACAACTGTAAGCAACTATGCAGGCATGTTCGGAATGCGATTCTCTCCCTCGAAGTGCAAAATGTTACTTCAGGACTGGGTTGCATCGACACCTGAACTAATGATAGGGAGTGAAGTAGTTGAACGTGTTGACTGTTTCACTTATCTTGGGAGTCTCATCAGCCCTTCTGGTCTGGTGTGTGACGAAATCTCAGCACGGATACAGAAGGCTCGCCTAGCTTTTGCCAACTTGCGTCATTTATGGCGTAGGCGAGATATCCGTCTAGCAACTAAAGGACGAGTTTACTGTGCAGCAGTTCGTTCCGTCCTACTTTATGGCAGTGAAACATGGCCAATAAGAGTAGAGAATATTCGTAGGCTACTAGTGTTCGATCATAGGTGCATTGCTCGTATATCCTGGGACCACCGGGTAAGTAATGTAGTTGTTAGGAAACGGGTACTAGGTCAGAATGGCAAATCGATTGATGAGGTAGTGAAACTTCAGTTGAGATGGCTGGGACACGTGTTACGTATGCCCAATCACCGACTGCCCCGACGTGCAATGCTTTATGGTGTAGGAGTAGGCTAAAAGAAAGCTAGGGGCGGCCAGACCAAAACGTGGCACAAATCCATGGAGTCACTGGCAAGTGGACTGATCCATTTTGGTAGGTGGTCTACACCTGGACTACCTGGTTGGGATTCGCAAGATGATAGCAACCGATGGTTAGAGACCTTGAATGACATGGCTCGAAATCGTTTGCAATGGCGAAGGTGCATCCACTCTTTGTGTTCTATCAAATTCTAATCTGAATTCTTCATGTCTCCATCCTTTTTCTCTTTCCAAATTTATTTCACCGTATTATACTCCTTCAATAACATCTTCAAACCCTAATCTATTACATAATGCTTATACTCTTACTACTTCTACCACTATGGGATTTGGATCAACAACTTCATCTCTGTGCTAATGTGGTATGGCAGCTCGAACTGATGTACGTATGTATTAAATTCTACGCTGTGACTGACTGACTGACTCAGTTGATTGTTCTACGATGATCCGTAGTGTCGCAATTTGGTCTGTGCACGACCGATCCTTACGAAATCCAGCCTGTTGATCTTGAAGTCGGGTGTCTACTGCGTCTTTCACCCGGTTCAGAGACACTATCTTTTAACCCTTTCCTGGTACGGACAGTGGTGTAATTCCTGTGTAGTTCTTACATTTGCTCAGATCTTCTTTCTGTGGTATCTTGATAAGGTATGTTTCTTTCCAGTCCATCGGCACTTCTTTTTCCTCCCAAATCTTCCTGAATAGAGGGTGAAGCATGTTTGCAGTTACTTATATGTCTGACTTTCGTGCTTCGCTTGGTGTATTGTTATGTTGTGCTGCTTTTCCACTCTTGACTTGTCTGCTGGCCATCCTGATTCCTTCAATCGTTGGTGGAGTGACATCTATAGTAAGGTCTGTGTGTGCTGCTTCGATATCCGGTGGATTCAATGGAGCTGGTCTATTCAGCAGTCTCTCGAAGTGTTCTACCCATCTGTTCCTCTGTTCTTGAATTTCAGTGATTGGCTTGCTATCTTTATCCTTGACCAGTTTATCCGGTTTACTATATTTCCGGGTTTCGCTGATTCCGAGAACCGCGATGTTGTATCTCCTTACTTCCGTTGCTATTTGGCTGGTCCTCTCGGTCTTCCACATTGTCTGGACGCTTCATGTACGCATAAAAATTGTTGCTCTGGTTGTTAGAAGGGACATCGTTCTCGTGACTTTCGAAAAATCTTGGCTTTCATCATGATGGGTCATAACTCTTCCTTCAACTCGGAGGGCAGAGTTTAAATGGTTTAATTAGTTTGACCTAGTTAGCATTTGTTTAGCAAGGTTTTCTATGGGATGGGGTATCTAACCCCATGCTCACCCCTCCTCCTTTGTGTGGGCTTGGGACCGGCATTAGTCCTAGAAGAGTTACAGGCGGGGTTGTATGGCAGCATGGTCTTGATTATTTTGTAATCCCGCCTACTATTTTCGCGAGATTGTTATATATGACGTTCAATTCATATGAACATTGTATTCTTGGCAGGTTTAATCACCAGGTGAATAACTTGACCCTGAACAGTGGTTTTTATTATTTCATGATGACCAGAAATCTCTAAGGGCTTTTCTACGCCTCTTGTGTATTTAAAGCAAGAAAAATGGATTGACTGTTTAGTTATACGTCTAACTCACACCTGTCGCTTAACGTATTTTTCAAAGAAAAAAATTGAATAAAATAAATAAAAAAGATTGTAAAACGTTCTTTAATTTTTGTGTTGTATATATCCGTTTTCAGATTTATTACATTCACAATCATACAATCCTGTTAATTTACCAATTTGAATGGCTTTTTATGATTGTTTTTTCAGGTTTCAAACCTAAAAGCTTCCATTCCTCTCGCAAAAATAGACAGAGGGATTTGGATGAGAAGTTTTCCCAACATCCAGAGGATTTTATGGATGATGAAGTATGATTTATTTAGTACTGAGTCCAATATATTTTATTCATTCAATTTAATATGACCCTTTACTTGGACAAAATTCTGGCAGTAACATCCTGCTTCAGCTACTTAATCTGATAAATACGAATTTTTCAAAATCTGAGGTTAATTGAAAATGTTTGGGTCTTTAGATTAAGGGTAGAGTAGATTGGTGCATCTCTATTGTGATTGGTTCCACATTAATGTAATAGTCTTTCGAACTACCTGTATCTGATTAATAACGTTTAATGACCTGTCTGGCATAATAGTATCTCAAGCAACGTGTCTCATAAAAATACCTTGATTAGGTCATTAAGACAGGCACACCTGATCAATACTCTGAGGTAACAGCTACAATTGGGTTCAGGATGATTATCAATGGAGGTCTACATATTCGGGCAGATCATTGAAGACAGAGCTCAATAAATAATCAATAACTACACATTATAGTCCTTCAATAGTGTCATTTGTTTATCAACATATCCCCAATAATTTGATTGAACTGGTTAAATACTCTTTGAGTTCTTTGGTTGAGTTCTGGGTTGTTGAGATTGTTGAATTCCATTGAAATCATGAACTGATCAATGCCAGATCATCATTGAAAACCTGGAAGCACTGAACGGCCGTTTCGTTCTATTATGGGACCCTTCAGCAGTGCGCACCCACAATCCTGCACACGGGATTCAAACCCAGCGCCTAATTTCTAGACCACTCCGAGAATTCTCGGAGTTTCAATGAGAGGCTGTGACTGGTGGAGATCAGCCGTATCGGGTGCAAGGCAGTTACCCTCCAAAGGTAATGGAATATAGTCGCGCAACATCGTGGATTGTTTGAAGTTAGACATTGTGTTTTAACAGGCAGTGTCTAAAATCTGGTACTGATACACAATGTGCCTCGCGCTAACCTCACCCCCGTAACTGCTGCTTGAAGATGAACACAAGAGTGGACATGAAAGTATATTGAGCTGGTGAATAAAATACACAAATACTCGTTTGTATGTATACATCTATACCCCTGAGGAAATCAATCCAATTCTTAGCCAATGGGATACGCTTATCCTTCAGATCACTTCTGATTGCCATTGGTTGACCTTCTCATTCGGCTACTTCTGATTGACAACTTTTGTGTCGTTATTTCGATCACTTTCAATAGTGATGCTTGAAATTCTTTTTTCTATTGCTGCAATATAGATGTAAACTGATCTGCTGAAATCAACACACTGGAATTTTGTTTATTTTTGTATGGGTTTGACGAAAATAACGTCGCCAGAGACTGTTGTGACGGGCGATGTCCAAAATCTGATACTGCTACACGGTGTGCTACGCACTAGTACCCAACTGATTACTTGAGCAAGAACACAAGAGTGAACGAGAAAGTGTATTGGACTACCGAATAAAATGTACAAATACTCATTCATATATACACCACTCTTATCTTTGGGAAATTGATCCGTTCCTTAACCAATGACACGCGCTTGCCCTTTGGTTCACTTGATTGCCATCGATTGACGTTCTCATTAGAATACTTTTGATTGACTCTGCATATCACATTGACACCACTGCATGCCAGCTCGGCGGTTTACGGGTTAGGCGTTCGTGCGCGAGACCGAAGGTGCTGGGTTCGAGTTCGTGGATACGCTTAAAACGTTAAATGTATAAGAACATATTGGAATGTTCCGAGGTGATTGGTTTACTATTGATTGACCTCCGGGTAGTGACTGATATCATGTATATCAGGCCCTTCTTAGTACAGATAAAGTTTTTCGATCAAATTACAATGCGACCGCTAGTTTAGGCGGCTCAATATCGCATGCATTATGATGATAGGTACACCTAGATTTTTGTGTTATCTCGGTTGGGGAAGATTAATGCTAAAGTGATGCTTAGGGATAGCAGCTCTATAAGTTCACAATTTAATCAACCAACTTACGTTTATCTGCTTATTTAGTGGTATCACGAGTCAGTTATCAGATATCTCTGGTCGTTAAAAACAACCTCTTTTATTCATATTGTAGAGCAGGGTATCTTGTTAATATGTATTCTTGACCCTCCACAGGCATGTAAAAATTGGTAAAGCATCTAAGCCCAATTAATACTTGTTTCTGGGCTCACATATCTGATCGATTAATACCACTAATTAACCCAGTAATTTATGAAACAAGTTGTTTATTAGAAACGGATATTATGTGGATGGATAATACTTTAATAAGTTTTAACGTTATCTAGTAGTGTGAAAGTGTTTTTCTAATCACCTCCTAGGATTTCGGAGAATTCGGTATTGCTCCAAGACGTATTCGACCGACTCATGAATTTGATGACACTCATGTACGTGATACATTGCAAATAGCATTAGGCGATCAGTCTGTGATTCCACAAGCTGGTTCACTTTTGAAAGGATTAATTGTAGCTACCAGGTGAGATTACTGTTTTCCATATTTCAGTGTCTTAACCTTCTATATTGTTCAGTTGTACAAAAATTAGTTGGAAAGTAATGTTCAGAATAATAGTTACTATAATCTATGAAATAGCAGTGATCTTAGACAGAGGTTGATAGTTATTCGAAATCATTTTTCATCATTCTTAACTGAAGATGTAGGGGTATGATATCAAAGAAGTTAGATTTCTGTTTTGATTATGGAAGTATCTGTTAGTATACGTATCAAAACATACATAATCATACTCGAACACTTTTGGTTAGTTTTTTTTTCGGTTGGGTTCGGAGCAGTATGAACCGAAGGTATCCATTTTCCTCATTTTCACTCAACGTTTCCATGTGATACCGGAAATAAAACTATTTTAGTCTGCTTTAGACACTTATCAGCTAGTAGTACTCAAAAGACGTGGTTCTGTCGAATGAACACGGAGACCATTCTGAGCTTTCTAAATCTCTACGTGACTGTATGAGAATATTGTAGATTTATTTATTACCCCAATTATAAAGTATTATCTTGGGACTTGTCAACATAAGTGTTTAATGTAATAAGAAAGAGTAAAATGAATGTATGTGTCAATTGCTTTACTTATGTCGAGGATCTCATAAACTCTTATTATCTGACAACTAACGAGATCTCAACGTGGATACTGAAAGCTCGTTTGGTTTCACAGAGGCTGCTAAAAGATAAGGATACTTGGAAGCAGCCTGCCAGGTTCGGGTAAAAAAAACGTGGTTTTGGGATGCTAAAGGTATATATATATATATATATATATATATATATATTAAAGTATACAGTCGTCTGTCTCTTGATGTAATCACTAACATATGGTGTAATCCTGCTATTAAGCGTAGAAATGGGTTAACCAATTGATAAGGTTGCAAGCACTTACAATTTCTGATGACTGGTAATTGTATCACACATACCCAGCTGCAATCTTTCTGAAAAGCAATGTTGCATGTCATTGTAGTCAGTTGACAAGAAGCTAAACGGTAGTCCATAGAGCCATAAACTACTGCTCTTAACATTTGCAAGAAGACTTGGTTTCCCTGGTTGAAGTTTTCAGTGTGATTTGCAGTACCATCAAAAAACTTTGAATTATGGCATATAATCAACCGTTATAACTGGAATACATGTATTCCCGTTGTGGTGGACGCTCCTCACACGATTGCTTGTAAGTAGTATGTAGCGGAACGTGGCGCCAAGGTTGTTACAGTCGTCAGACGGAGAAAAGTGTTTCAGTATATCGAAGGCTTGGCATAAGTAGAGTACTTGACGACCAGATGAAAAGACATTTTGGATTTCAGAACACACCCCAAGATAGAAATGGCTGGTGAAAGGCTAGGTATACGTATTATACAAACGCTTTGTAATTTCTCTCAACAGGCTATCCTTCTGCCCATTGTCTTGTTTTACTCCGTACTTGTTACGTTTTCATTCATGTCTTTCTCATTTAATTTGACATCCTTTACTTTATGTTTATTTTTTCTCCCGAATCCTAATAATGTGTTACGAAGGGTGTTATTTCACACGGGATTCGTCAAAGTTTTCGTCCTATCTGTTATCATAGAAAACATATCCTCCACCCTAACTGAATTCCGACGAAAACACTGTTGATCTTATAGTTGACTTATTAAAAAACTACCCTGCTTTGAAATGTTGTCTAATTATTAAGGCGACAGTAACATTATTAAAAAAATCTCAACGCAGTCTAGTTAAAACATTGTTTTATGCATTTATTTAACTACAGAGGAACACTAGCTGAGAGGTTATTACGCCGTCTTGGATGGAAAAATGCTCATCCAACTCTCCTAAATGATGATACCGTAGAAGATACGAATCAGAGGAAATTTCCAGACGATACAGAAGCTATCACATGCACTGATGAATGTTTTGATGGAGAAAAAGATTCAAGTACGATATAACATATTTTTAGAACTCTTTTACTTTGTGCTTTTAACTAGTATCAGTTAAGTTGCTATATGTGGAGCTAGGAATAAATTATTCTCATCATGGTAAATGTATAGAGTTAGTTCAATGTTCAGAACACCCATGAACTGCCGTCATTTAGATATGCCTGGACCTCTGACAAAATTTAACTTCTTTACAATTTGAATGCCTCAGCTGCATCATTCCTGGTTAGGGCTGATCTATTACTCTTCAGAGATTATTAAATTCCAAAAGATTAGGGAATATGGTTTTACAAAATTTAAATGTCTTCTTTGTATACCTTGTGAAATTTTATAGTTTGTCAGTTCTGATTTCCGAGGTAGGGTATCGGGTGTAACTGTAAACGTTTAATCATAGGCGCTACGACTGTATTACTTGATGATGCAAATTTAAATTCCAGGAAGATTGTTAACTGTCTTGAAGTCATAAACTCATTGCTGATAAATATCCACAATGGAGAATCTAGTTACGTCGCTTTCTGCTTTTTGCACTCAGGTATCTTACTTAAAAGTATGACCATTCAGCGATTAAAAAACCATATCAATGTAGTTGTAAACCTATTGTGTCGTCTGTGACAAATTCACATTGATGATGAATGGTGTGGTCAATGGTTATGTTGGTGGCCCTCTTAGATTTGTAGCTCGAAACATCTTTGTTAGGAACTTTTAAATATAATTCAACAATCACAATTGGTTGATCACTGGGTGGTGATCAATCTCATGCATGTCAGGTCCTTCTTAGTGCTGATCGAATGCTATCGATCGAGTTGCAATGTGACCACCAGTCTAGGTGGCTCGACACTGCTTGCACTATATGTATATTGAGGTAAGATGGTGGTTGGAGGTGGTCAACAGGATCGATAGCATTCGATCAGCACTAAGAAGGACCTGACATGCATGAGATTGATCACCACCCAATGATCAATCAATTGTGATTACATCTCAGTCCTACAGGAGGTTGGTCGCGGCCCGAATAGCTCAGTGGTAACGTCGCTGACTGTGAAGCTGAGTGACGCGGGGTCGAATACGCCAGGGAGCGTCAGTTCCCTCAGGATTACAGGTACACCTTGCTGACGAGTGCCAAGTAGCACGAAACCCGGATCCAGGGTTTCCTGTTGACCACCTCCAACCACCATCTTACCTCAATAATTCAACAATGTTGTATCACTGATCACTAATCTGTACATTCATCTGTGATTACATAAAGTATGAAAATAATCACTGTTTTTTTTTGTATAAGGCCCTAGAATGTTCGCTCAAATTAGCTTTGTGGCTAAAACCAATACATTTGGTTTGGGGTATTCACCATTGGATCCAGAAATCGCTATGGGTCGGCGTAAGCTGAACTCAAATGATGCTGAGGATATTTGGTCAAACAGACACCCAGAAGAATCTGTCAGTGCACTGTTACACAGACAACAGAAAATTCGTAGCGAAAATGAATTTGATCTTAAAAGTGGATTAAAACGTCGTGGCATAACCGGTAGGTAAAATGTAGTATAATGTACATATTTTTTGTGCATAATATAAATAATCGTTCTTGTACAAGACATAATTACGTTAAGATGCTTTCTTTGTCGTGAAGTAGGTTGTTAACTGATGTCATTTGTTTAGTTACAGGAGTAATATTTAGTCCTAAATCGATATTGACCGATATGTCTGAAACATGTGTAGTTCATATTTATTTCTTGTTCATTTATCGATATTCGTTTGGTATTGTGAATGCAAAATAAAGAAGAAAACCTCATCGTGATTAGATGGTGTTGTAGTGATCTGTGAAGATATTCCTTGTTATTTCTAGTGAATGCGGTAAATCTAATCTTCCTCATCGAAATCATATTATCAGTAGTTATTGATTGAATACTGTTTAAAATTGATGTCAGTTGCGCAAATATATTTAACCTTGATTAGAGGGAATGAAATAACCATCAACATAAGGTTATACAGTTTTACTTTATCTTAATTGTTCTTGTCAGTTAGTGGTTTCTTCTTAGTGTCAATTAGTTTGACAGTTCAAACTGATCCACCATTTTCTCATATCATCAATTGTTTTAACTTGTAAATAACAATTTAAGTGAAACTAATAAATATAATCAATGAGTTGACTATTCTCAGGTAGTGTCCGGACATTTATTACATACACCAAATCACATGTTTTCTATACTCTTCTCTAGGTCATGCTTTCGGTGTAGGTGCTTTAGAGGAAGAAGATGCTGATGTGTACGAACAAGATCGTTTGGCAGAATATGATTGGGAAATAGGGGATGGTGAATCGAACGATGACGAAGATGAAGATGAAGAACAGGCTGAAATTGAGGCTGCTAGACTTGGACGTTTGTCATCTACTATGAAAAAGAAATCACAAGTTAATTCCAGTTCTACTGAACGTACTAAAATTATTGATGGGTGGACTGCTCCTTCACAAAATCGTAAGTATTTAATACTGTACTTGTCAGTTGAGGATGCATGCAATCCGTCTTATATCCGAACTCTACGAAATTATGTACTGGTTATGTCAGCCACATAAATCACTTAAACTCTATGGGCAATTTGCTATTTGCAACTAAATATATGGACTACTTATAAGTAGTATCAGACGATGTTTATCAGTCTTAATAATTGGTAGTAAAATAATTTTTTCGTTTTAAGTGTACTATTTGATACAACAATCGCCTACAGTCTACACATAAAGTATGATAGTTAATAATGTAAACTGTAGGCTTTCTCTGGTGTGTCTGCGACTGTACCTATGATCTATCTGTAGAAATTATCAACAATTATCATATATTCACAGCGTTATATGTTACTTCAATATCTATCCACTTACTGATGAATTGACATAGCACAAGTAAGTTGACCTTTTTTATACATGTACCAAGTTATGAAATAATACTATTAGTTAATCAAAATTAATGTCATATTTGAATCGTCAGGTTCATCTCAAAAACTGAACAAATCATCCTCAGATGCTTTGCCTGGATTTCGTAGTGAATCAACGAAACAAAATGAATTGAAAACTCATCCAATTCAAGTGCCTTTACCTCCAGGATACATTCCGGTCTTTAATCCACGGTGTATATCAACTTGTGATAATAAAGAAAGTATTACATCAAATGCATCCAATCACCCTTATGTCAAACATGATGCTATTTCACGAGCCCGTTTGCTCCAAGAAGGTAGGGTTTGGTGTGATGATCGTATATGCATCAAATTGTTTTTTAGAATTCATAATGTTTATTTTGTTTATCGCTCATAGGAAATACAAAGTCAACCTTCATGTTCCAACCAATATTTTGGTTTCTCTTCAAAGGAAATTATGTAATACAACATTATCACTATTTGAAGTAAGGGAAATCTTTCCAGTGGGTTCGGAAACAGGGTGAAAGTTGTATTTCTCATGTAATCTTAAAACTTTGGCTCTACGTAATGTGTCGAGGAGTCGCACGATTTTAGAAAGCATTCTAAATAAATCTAAACAGGGTAATTGGTTGCCTAATCAATATTAGGGCTTTGTAAAACTATTGAATGAACAGGGATTCAAAATTTTAGTAAATAAAGTACGAAATACTAATTGTTACTAATGGATTTCAAGAATTTGACCGCCTCTAACTATTATTGACGACGTTAACTTAGATAGAAGTATGTGATTGTTCCAAACGATTTTTATGATGACTGATCAGTGTAAAAAAAGTTTTCTTTTTCTGTAGTTGTATTGGGTTTGAGTCATATAGTTAAGTGTTAATTAACCAGAATATTTCCTATTTCTATTTATCTTCTGAGATTATTTTCTCCGTAAATGGATGTATTGAACTTTTTGACTTTATTTTGTAACTGATTGCCTATCCGTTCTGCAGGTTCAGTCTTTAGATTGTCTGTTTTCAATACCAGATATTTTGTCATGTACTCTACGTGATTCAAATTTAGTCAAATGTATTTGAGTGGTGTGTTAAGGCATGTCTGGGATGTACTTACTTACTCCTGTTGCCCGTCGTGGAGGGGCATAGGCTGCACACCAGTATTCTCCATCCAACCTTGTCCTGGGCAATCCTTTCCAGTTTTTTCCAGTTAACATTCATCCTTCCTCTTTTCCGCTTCCCTTCAGGATTTCAAGTTAGCGCTTGCCTCGTGATGCAGTTTGGTGATTCCCTTAATGTATGTCCGACCCAATTCCAACGTTGGTTGACAGTTGTTATGAGTTCCATGCCCCACGCTCACCCCTCCTCCTTTTTTTGGGCTCGGGACCGGCATTAGTCCTAGAAGAGCTACAGGTGGAGTTTGTCTGGGATGTATTAAAAACATGACCAAATAGGTGATGGAAGTGTTTTCCTTTTCGTATTTTATACTACTAATAAGTAACTCAAATCCTACCGGTAAAATTATTGATACAAAGACAGGAATTCATTAATTATTTTGACATGTTTTTAAAATTATATTTTAAATTTTAGTTATAATGAGTATTACTGGTAATTCATTGACTTATTGGACAAGTGTTATTGTTTTTTTGGACTAAAATAGTAAAAATTCGATCATTGAGATACTTTCGATCACGTTTCCTTTGTTAGCATTATGGTATCAACTAACAGTCATCTTTATTGAGTGTTCATGAGGATATGAATCTAATTTTATTGTTCACTATACTGTCGTAGTCAAATTGAACAAAAAAATTAGGATTGTGTCTTAATAATAAGGGACATCTATTGTTGCACGACTTCATGACAAGTGAACAAAAACAAGGTATTGGTGAAAGTAGATGTTATAAAATCTATTCAAACAAAAAGAATGAATGTTATTTAGCAGATAAAAATTAGATATATGTAATTGGTGGTAATCAAACAATTGCAATAATGTTATCTGAGTACAAAGTGAAAATAAATCTTCTAAAGTTTACAAGAAACAGGAGAACTTGAATGTCATTACAACAGTTGTATATTTTATACACACAAGGGTAAAAGCAAGATTCTCGGATACAACACCACATGCATCGATCGAATCACACTTGACGGAGAAGCTATGAAAGATGTGAAAACACGGTGGATCTGATGCAAATGTGAAGGCGCGGATCAGCAAAGCGAGAACAGCATATCTACAATTGAAGAACATCTGGAACTCAAAACAACTGTCAACCAACACCAAGATCAGAATATTCAATACAAATATCAAGACAGTTCTACTGTATGGGGTGAAAACCTGGAGAACTACGAAAGCCATCGTCCAGAAGATACAGGTGTTTATCAACAGTTGTCTACGCAAAATACTTCGGATCCGTCGACTAAGCACTATCTGCAACAGGCTACTGTGGGAGAGACCAAACCAGATTCTATCCAGTGGAGGAAGAAGCGCTGGAAGTGGATAGGACACACATTGAGGAAAGCACCCAACTGAGTAACAAGTCAAGCCCTCACCTGGAATCTTCAAGGCCAAAGAAAAGGAGGAAGACCAAAGAACATATTACGCCGAGAAATGGAGACAGACATGAGAAGAAGTGGATAGAACTAGAAAGGCCCAGGACAGAGTGGGTTGGAGTATGCTAGTCGACCGTCAATGCTCCATTGGGGGTAACAGGCACTATAAAAAAATATATTAGTTAAAGTAGATACAAGCGAAAGTAAGACCACTGCCGCATGGGTCAGTTCATGACGTACGATTAACTGATGCGCACCGATTGTCTTTGACTTCGACAGGGATGGATGATCTGTTCGATATTCAGTGACCCGATTGCCTGGTGATTTGGCTAGGGCCCAGTGACATTTCACTGGCCCTACACTATGATAACTTGTTGTATTAGAACATTCTAAATGTTTTAATCCTTTAGTCTAAGTTGTCTCTTATATTCATATAACTTTTTCGTTCATTTACCCTGTATGTGTATGCATTCTCATTTCTGATCCTCTCTCGTTGTTCTGAAAAAAAAAAACAGTAAACACTCAATTGTATTGAAAATACTAACGGTAATGCAACTCAGATTGTTGTCAACTGGCTTGATTTTATTTGATTTTAGATTCAGTTTATGAAAAGTTAGATCCTATCCAACAACTCCGTTTGAAGGCTGCAGCAGCGGGACTTCCTGTCCCAGCCCTAGTGTCAAAGTCTTCAGCTGAGCAACAATCAAATCAATCTGAAAAATCAAATGAACTGGCTGTTTTTACTACTTCTAATCCAACTGCTGGTTTGTTGAAAATTTTTAAAATGGATAGTAATAAACAAGCTCGGTTTGAAGCTTACCAAGTACTTGTTCGTCGAGGATTTGCCCGTATGTTTTTAAATATATATATGTATATATATTTTGTTGTTGAGGATTAAGTATGTTACTTACTGAATTTATTTTTCAGATTAGGAGTCCGGAAATTTGTGGTAGACTGAGAGCTTTTTTTCAACACAATATCTTTATTAGTTAGAAAACCATGGATTTTATCAATACTATGGTCTATGAATCGGCGTTAGTCTGAAGGTCTGTTTGTATTCATCGCATATTAGAACTTTAGGAAATCATTCGTATATATTCCAGTGTTTCATGGGCTAAGCACCCGGAGACCTCAAAGCCTGGTGTTCATCAAACGATTATATACTTTTATAATTGGGAGATTTTCATTACTTCTTGATTTTCACTCATTCAGTCAGTCAGCTACAACGTAGGACCAGGCACATATATGCATCGGTCCAAGTTGCCATACCTCATTAGCACAACAAAATGAACACCAAATTCGTAGAAGTAGTTAATTTAGTGGTGGTAATATGTAAAAGAAAGATTGTATGTAAGGATAGTACAGGAAGAAAGAAAAGTATAAAGCAATTTTAATGTCATGGTTTAAGGGGAGACAGTGTATACACCTACACCATTGTGACCGATTCTGAGCCATGTCATCCAGAGTCTCCAACGATTGGTTGCGATAGTCACGCGGACTTCAACCAAGTAGTGTGCATCTACCAACATGACTCAGACTAGAAGTTAGTGACTTCAAGCACTGATACCATGTTTTGGTTTGGCCACCCCTAACTCTCTTCCAGTCATCGTCAATACTAGTCAGCATTGAGCGTCGTGGTAATCGGTGTCCAGGCATACGTAACACGTGGCCCAACCATCTCAGTGGATGAAGATTCATGACCTTATCAACTGATTTACCATCATTCCCTAATGCCCTGTGTCTAACCTCACTATTACTTACTCGGATATCCCAGGAGATGCGAGCAATATTTCTAAGGCATCTGTGGTCAGATACTAGTAACTTACGAGTATCTTGTACTCTTAATCGCCATGTTTCTCAGCCGTAAAGTAGATCAGAGCGAACTGCTTCACAGTATACTCGTGTTTTAGTTGATAGACGGATATCTCGCCTTCTCGATAGGTGACGTAATTTGGCAAAAACCAAACGAGCCTTTTGAATCCGTGCTGAGATTTCGTCAGATGCCAACCCATTAGGACTGATCAGACTTCCAACATAAGTGAAGTTGTCGACGCGTTCGACTACTTCACTCCCTATCCTTAGTTCGGGTGTTGACGCAGGCCAGTCCTGGAGTAACAATTTACATTTGGATGGGGAGAAACGCATCCCAAACATCCTGGCATTATTACTGAGTTCCAACAGAAGACCCTGCATTTTGTCAGTGTCTTCACCAAACAGGACTATGTCATCTGCATATTCTAAGTCGATAAGTGGACCTCCTGATAGGAGATCAATTCCTGAAAATTCAGTGGGAGAGTGTTATTTTCAGCAGTAGGTCTATTATGAATTTAAACAAAAATGGGGATAGTGGACAGCCTTGTCGGACACCACTTGAGGTTGTAAAATCAGATGACAGTTCTCTATAAGCTCTCACTTGGCTGGTAGGTTTCGAGTAAGGGACCTTCACAAGGTATACCTTGATTTTCAGATGCTTAGAATAATAATATCAACTTCAGTCATATTCTTATTATTTAAACCAACTTCCTAGGTTTTGAGCTAAAGATTATATCTGAAAGATGTTAGAGTAAGGCCAATATACTCACTTCCATATTAGGTAGATGTATATGCTTTTAGTTTATTTAAGATCCTGGGGCCTCCGTTTAAGTGCCTGGTTTAAGCACCAAAATGTTTATGCGCCACACAAAATAGTTATCATTAAATTTGTGTGTGGGCCGGGATACTACACAAGTGCCCGAACATAAGCAGGCTGTTTTCTTAGGGGACCACTCCTCGAGCTTCCGACCTAGAGGTCTAATGCATAAGGCAGTGGAGCAAAGTGAGGAGATGTGCCTCCATGGTACCTAGTGACCGAGGATGGGTTCGTAAACCATATGTTCCATCAGGACCGTGGAGCCCACGTGCACCATTGGTTTGCAAACAGTTTTCCAATTCTCCTAGGTAGACTCTTTCGTACACACCGAGCTGGTGTAAGCGCAGTATAAAGGAGTTCTCCCCGCTCTCTTCTCCATACCAAGTCATTTGGGGACTATCTCTGTAAAGTGTAGCTATATATTACTGTATCATGTTGAATTCTCGCACTCTTTAGTTAATCCGTCAGCTTATCTGATTATTTATTTCAAACTAAATGAAACATTTTACTATTTATTTTGTACTAATTCTTGTTTTGTATATTCATAACGTTTAAAAATTCGATGTGTTTTTTCTAAAGAATAAAAAAGATTGGTTTTAATTGTGTAATTTACGAATGATATATCAATTAGTTTTTTGATCTTGTTCTCTTGTCCTATCCTATACAGTTTACTAAGTTTTATATTTATTTTCACACATTTTCCCCACTCTTTATTGACTATAGATGAAGATGCTTATCATCGTTGCTCTACTCTATTGGATTTAAACAATGAAGAGAAGGAACGTGAAGCTAACTCGTTTCAAGCGCTTATTAAAATGAATCAAATGACGAATACTAATAATTCTTCTCAAATGGATCCAGTGAATATGAATAATGATACAATGATCTGTCAAACTTCAACGCCAACCTCTACTATAACAAGTATATCTTCTAATACTTCTGATAGACTAATGCCATTATCTAATAAATTACCACTTCATAAACAACAGTTGATCTCATCAAAATTAGCCTTAAGATTTCGTTCTGCTGGTTGTATGGATATCAGTAAAGAATTAACTGAAGAAGAGGAGAAAGCTCAACGAGCACGAGTTGAAGTAAGTTCATTTTCCTAACACTCAAAAAAATTTAAATTTTTAAACAGATTTTTACTTTCCATAGTTATATTCAGTCAAAAATCATCTATTCATCTTGTTTATTTAATTGTAATTAAACAAAATAGAGAGAGAAAAGGATAGAAAACAATGCTTCAACAAAGCTATCTCTTTTTGGGCACTCTTAATTCTCAGCGTCAAATGTGTGTAGTTTTTTAAAATTAGCCAACTATGATATATTTGTTAATAATAATAATAATAATAATAATAATAATAATAATAATAATCTATCGAATGTAGTAACAAAAGAACGGTTTTATTTCTAATCAAGAAAATTACTTGTTATCAAAATTGAGAAATAAGCTAAAAATTGTCATAGAAATTAAATTTAGAAAAAGAATGATTATAAAAACATTGCATAACAATGATAAGACGATTTCTAAAATAATATAAATTTAACTAGAGTATATAGTGACAAATTTCTTTTATGAAGGTTATGCATTCCAGAAATGCATGAAAACACTCCACCTTTGGTAAGTTGTTTTTATGTTATAATTGATTGATTTTTATTAGATAACCGATGTCGACAGGTTCGCTGTCTTTGATTACATGGAATAATGCTGTTAAACGCTTTAATGTAGAGTGTGCCTCAAATGACTAACCAACAATGCTCTGCAAAAACTCTGATCTATTTGATCAGAAGCGGGTGTACTTGTTTCGTTAGGTTATTGGTAAGCTTATTTCAATTTTGAAGGAGCTCAAAATAATTCCCTATTTCTCTAAAACTGTACCATATTCGTATATAGAATCTTCTTTTTTGGCACGAAAATCATTAGTGTTATTAAAAGTTCAGGTAGTATATTTTTATTCATAAACCTTGCTATAGACTTACTCAGATTGGTAATTTTCTTCAAAGTATCATCATTTATACATTAAAACCGTTATTACCAAACATATTATAAACTGCCACTTCGAGTAGTCTATAAATTTACTACTGTACAACTAAGAAGAAATCTGATTATCGATCCTCTCATTCTTGTTTTTATGTCTTAATTCAATTTTCTTTTAGCTAAACATTACTTGATGATTGGTGTCATTAATAAGGAATATTTGCAGACTTGGAAAAAAAAACAATACTAAAGCAATTTGTAAAATATGAACTAGTGTTAGATGTTGACTTGTTGCAAGTGTTCACGGATCACCGTTTATCTAAAAGTGTTGTATCTAAACTAAGTGGATATTATTTCTTTTATTAAATAAATAAGTTCATGATATCATTAGGTTTTCAATCTATACAACTACATCAATTTATTGTTTTTGCATTTTTCTTTACAAAAATTTAGTTAAGGGTTATATATGTAATCCCTATTCTTTTTATTCACTTAGAGCTTAGATACAGTGGAACCACGTGATCATGCTGTTGCAACAGAATCTTATGGAGCTTTAACTAGACGGCGTTTAAAATGGCATCCTGATAAACTTTTATGTAAACGTATAAATGTTCCTGATCCGTATCCTGAGTAAGTGTTTGTTAATAATAATATCTTTATTTCTACATCGACAAGTATAATCTGGACATTGAGTAAATAAATTATGTTTCGATAAAGAAGTAGAATGATACCAGTTCTCCTTTTTGGTGTTAATCTTCTCTATTTACTTTTTAATCGTAAACTCAATGCGTTTCGAGGAACTAGTAAAAATCATTCATAAAGTTGATTAGTCTACATTTGTTTTATCTACTCCAATGAACATTCATATACGTCAATCTTTTAACATCAAGTGTAACAAGGTTATTCACTCACTGGAAAGAATCATTTCAAGAGCTGTAACTGAAGATTTGAGGAGATTGCTGAATTTAATTGAAATCTCATGAACCTATCTAGGTTAGACCATTGGTCTAGAGGCTAGAGGGACTGATGATCCTGGGTTCGATCCCCGCGTGTAAGATTGTGGATGCACGTTGCTCAGGACTTCCATACTTGGATAAATCGACCGTCCAATGATCTAAGGTTTTTAATGTTGGCCTAACTTAAACTGATTCATGATTTCAATGAAATCCAAAAAACTGCCTAATTATTCTTTTTTAATTGAAATCATGAACCGATCAATGTTAGAACACCATCAAAAACCTGGGAGCCGTTTCGTCTTAGTAGAGTTCAACAGTCTTGAGTGTGAGGCAGTTACCCTCCAAAGATAGTGGAGGATAGTCGCTCAATATCGTGGATTAGTTGGTAGACATTAACACCATCGGATGCCGGTTCAGTGGTCCAAAGGTTAAACGCTCGCGCGAGAGACTGAAGGTCCTTGGTTCGAATCCTGTTTGCGGGATCGTGAATGCGCACTGTCCCATACTAGGACGAAACGGCCATCCAGTGCTTCCAGGTTTTTAATGGTGATCTAACGTTGACCGATTTATGATCTCAATTAAAACTCAACAATTTCCACAACCTATATTCTTTTTTTCTTAAACATTCAAATTATTTTTATAAAATGAATCGTACTTGCTTTCTTTGTTAAACCTTCAATGAGAGTAAAATTACATAGTTTATTATCTTCTTTGAGATTAAATTCTCTCACTTATATCAAAATAACCGATAAAAATGTTTATTAAATGAGAAAAGAACTATAAAATTGAAGTGGATTATACGTTTTTATGGATTCTTTTCTTCAACTCCTTACAACCTTATTTGTATCGGTAGAAAAATAGCGTAATAATATTACTTAATCCGCTGTAATTACTGTGAATAAGTAAAATAACATGAAGTATATATATATATATATATATATATATATATATATATATTCAAGGTCATTTGAGGTTAGATCTAGAACGTAACTAAGATAGTGTACATAAGATATAGTGAATACATATAATCTTGATTCCATTGTTCTTGCTTTGTTTAAATACCTTAAATGAAGGCCAACTGTATGAAACAAATTAAGTTAACAATTTAAATTTCTTTCACTACTATTTACTACTGTTACAGGCAGATGTTTTTTTTAAAACTATTTCTACCCTTATCACTTGAGGTAAATAAATTTAGTGAGAGAAAAGAAAACAATTGTTTCTTTTTTGTTTAAAAAAGAAAAAAAGCCTGTATTTTTTTATTTTTTCTTCTTATATGACCTTTAGTAAAAGGATACATTGATTGACATAAACTTTATTGTAAAATGTAAATGAAATAAGCATTGTTTTAATTCTTATTGTAACATCTTCCAGTTATCAATAGGGTCAACTATTATTTAACATTATTACAGAATGGTAATTAACTCAATTTATTATCATTATTATTGTTACTATTAGCTCTCAAATGCACTGGTACGGCCGAGAGCGGGGAGAGTCCGCTCTCCTCGAAATGCTCTCATATGGCCAGCGAATATATAGCCTCTGTCAGGGAAGTTCTACTCACTACCTTCTCGTGACGGGGGTGTTGTTTACGAAATTGAGAAGACGAAAAGCGAATGTCCGGTGCTTTAACCGGGTCGGTGGACACGGAAAGTACACATAGAGGAGTTGGGAAACCCTGACTCCAAACCGATGGTGCACATGAGCTCCAGTATCCTGAGGGAACAAATGGCGTATGAATCAATCGTTGGTCACCGGTTACCATGGGACTGCATCTCCTCACGATGCTCCACTGCCTTGTGGATAAGACCTTTAGGTCGAAGGCTCGGGGTGTGGCCGCCTAATGAAACCACCTACTTCGGTCTGGGGACCCGGGCAGTATCACAGCCCTCATACAAATCGAATGAGATTTGTGAGGCGCATATGTATCTGGTGCTTCCTTGTACCAATATTTATGTGTTTAAATGAATAAATTAACTATTATTATTATCACCATTATTATTACTATTATTATTATTATTTAGAAATTTTGACAATATTAAAGCTGATTATAAATGTGTAATATTTTTTTAGCTTTTCAATTAAGAAGAAATTCATGGTATTTAGTGGAGCCATTAAAATTCACCTATTGATTTACGATACACAGATGATATATTTCTGTTTGATGAAGATGTTGATAAAATGCCAAGTCTTTTGACCTTCCTAAGTAATAATACAAGTATGCTTGGAGTGTGTTTCTTTCTCATTAAATACAAAGTGTTGCTTTGGAATGGTCTGTGTCAACGCTTGAAATAATAATCGAAATTGAATGTACTTAGGTGGAGTTTTGTTCTCTTAGCTGGATGGTTTGGTTGTGGAGTTTTCATCGTTCTTCTGAACGACATCATCAGTACAAACATCTTTCAAACGATCCAACACAGAGAACAAAAGGTCACCTAAATCACCCACCTGAACTACAACTCTTCTTCAGAATCTTGAAGCGAATATAGTTGAGCGTTTCGATCACTCCACTTCTCTTAAAAATCTCATCAGCCGTAGTGGGTATGAGTTCGTAAGGCAAAATTGGCCTTTGCAAGCTTACGTCACTTATGGCCAAGGCGAGATAACCGTCAGCTATTATTATTATTTGAACACATAAATATTGGTACGAGGGGGCACTAGATATATATGCGCCACACAAAAAATTGTCATTTCGTTTAATTGTGTGAGGGCTAAGATACTGCCCGGGTCCCCAAACCGAAGTAGGTGGTTTTTCTAGGGGGCCACATTCATAGCCTTCGACTTAAAGGTCTGATCCACAAGGTAGTGGAGAGATGCAGTCCCATGGTAGTCGTTGACCAATGATAGGTTCATACGCCATTTGTTCCCTCAGGATACTGGAGCTCATGTGCACCATTGGTATGGAATCAGGGTTTTCCAATTCTCCTTGGTAAACTTTCCCTGTCCACCAACCCGGTTAAAGCGCCGGACATTCTCTTTTCGTCCTCTCAATTTCGTAAACAACACCCCCGTCACGAGAAGGTAGTGAGTAGGACTTCCCTGTCAGATGCTGTATACGCGTGACCATCTGAGAGCATTTCGAGAGGGAGAACGAACTCTCCCCACTCTTGGCCGTACCAGGGCATATGGGAGCTAATCAAAGGACAAGTATACTGCAAATCAACTCTTTTACTAACACTGTAAAACGTGGTCATTAAAAATGTATTATGTTCGTAGGTTGCTAGTATTCGATCTTAGGTATCTTTAAGACATTGCTCCTTTATTTTGGGACTACCTAATTAATTATGAGGTTAGTCGCAGAGTACTCGGTAAAGTTGGCGAATCGATTGATGTAGTGAATCTTCATTGACTGGTATGGTTAGGATATGTATTAAGTAATCCTATCTACTGACTACCTCGACGAGCCATGATAACTGGTGTAGAAGTAAGTTGGAAGAAAGGCACGGTCAACCAAACAAAGACATGGTTTCAATCCTTAAAGTCACTGACTATAGGTAGGTTGAGGTTCGTGTGTTTATTGTAACCAATGGCTGAAACGTTTGGGTGACGTGACTTGAAATCTTTCGCGACGACACAGGTGTCTCCTCCTTAAATTCTAAGTTTCTAACTTATAAATTGGTTTTTTATTGCGCTAATCCAAATTTTTATTTCAAATAGTATCTTCGATGCCTAATCTTTCTATTGTCACTAATACTGTTACTATCTTTAGGACTTTGAGATTTATCCAGACACTTTCATTTCACTGTGTTAATGGAGTGTGGCAACTTGTAATGATATACATATGTTCCAGGTTCTACATTGGATATAACTGATTGATAAAAATACTTATTGGTGATAAATTATATATATATATATATATATGTATATATATATATATATATATATATATATATCACTCTGTATTGAATTCTTTAGTCAATCAACATTAATCTGTCAAAACTACATGTGAAGGCATTCAATGAAACTGTTTATACAGAAAATGTCACAGTTGTTTTGTGAAATTGACCTTGAACTGGACATGATGCAACAAGAATTAAGCTTAATATTTGAACATCCTATTGAAGAGCGAATGACCTACAGTCGTCATATTCTTTATTCATTTATTTGTTAAGCAACTTATAAGCATGTGTTCAACGCTTCAATATACAAACATGTTATTTTGTCAGGAGAAATGATGTCTATTCTATTGGGCAACTGTCTTGTTTTCTGATATCAATTTCACTGTAAGCTTGTGTCAATAATTCAGTTTCATGGGTAGTCATCACTTGGCTACATTGTGTCTATTTATAAGCATTATATTTATTCATTTTAATAACTTAAAACTCATTCACTCATAAAATCACATTACATAATAGGAGTCTATTTCATTGATGCTATTCTACTGTATCCTTCCTTTTTCAGTAGGTTTTTTAAATGTTCACCTAATATTATTTTCAACTTTTCCCTTATTTTGAAAACTGCCTTGGGATTTTTAAAGTAATTTACATGAATAAAAGCTAAATGTTTGTTAAATTTACACAATGATTTTTTCTCTCTTTCATAGTTCCACTTTTGTCGGCTGTCCAGATGATAGACGTCCTCGTAATCCTTTTCGTCATAAGTTTGGTAAACATGGAAAAAGTAGATTCTCTGATAGTTCCACGGCCAATGAATTTTCTATTTTCGATCTGTTGGATGTTAACACTACTGGTTCAATTCAAAAGTTGAATTCTTCAAATACTACCTCTGTTGAACGACAATTAAGTGATGAGTCCAATTCTTCTGATAGTGACAGCAACGATCCTTCTGGTACTATGCCAGAACTTTGTGCCAATAATACACCCTATAGGACTGAAATGACTGGTACAACTTTTCAGTCTCGTGGAAAAGCTTTATTCGCAACCTTGTTTCAATCTATTGAACAGGGTAAAACAACCGAAACTACAGACAACGTTATGAAAAATAATAATTATAGTTTGATAGAAAAAGTTCAACCAGCAGATAAAATTTCTCATGATATTACCAATGAGATTGTCGATGAATCAGTAAGTTTCGTTTTGCTCAAAAATTATCATTTATAGCGTATTTATCTACAGATTATTATGAATATCCAGTATCTATGATATTGTTGATCACCGGCTACTATGGGACTGCATCTCCTGACGTCGCTCCACTGCCTTGTGCATTAGACCTCTAGGTCAACGGCTGGGAGTGTGCCACTCTAAGAAAACCACCTGCTTCGGTTTGCTCACACAAACAGTATTCCAACCTTTACGCAAGTCGAATGATTTGCGCGGCTCGTATGTATTTGGTGCTCTTTTGTACTAATATTTATGTGTTTAAATAAATAAATATTAAGTATAAAGACACTTTATAAATAAACAATAGTTCCTTGTTTTCGTGCTCAGTATAGATGCAGCGTGTTTTAATATCCTGATATAAATGCGTTTTATTTGTACATTCTATTTACTAGAATACACGGGTTATTGGTCCTGCTCTTCCGAAAATAGGCATAGATGTTCTTACTGATCATACAGATAAACCTCCGATGGATTTGTTCAAATCAATATTTGCATCTGATGAAGAATTGAGTTCATCTTCGTTATCAGATAACGACGTTGATAATGATAATAATAACAATAAAGACCGTGAGAAAGATGATTTAACCATACAGACAGATAACAAACCGAATTCTATTGAACCGTCTAATGGTAACTTCGATTCATCATGTTTTTGAACATCTGGAATATTTTATTTAACTTTTTAGATCAGCCTGAATTATTCAAGGTACATGCATTATTTTCACATCTGTTTGAACCGAATGGAGATATGCGTAAGTTTGTATTTACAATAATATATGAACTGGTTCATATATCTTATTACTTTGATCTTTTAGGTGGTCCATTATCCGGTTTAACACAAATGACTACACGACCTGATGTATCGTCCAAAGTTCCTACATCCTCACAGAATAATCTCAATCCGGATTTATTGTATGGACCGGATTTACCGCCGAATTTTAGTATGTTTTCGATTATGTTTGTAATTTTTTTCTATTTATCTAGATGTCATTGGTGTATTTGAATTACCACTTTGAGTTGGCTTCTGTTTCACTAGAACTAAAAAATTTGTGAAATAACTATATTCAGACTTTATTCAACGAGAAATCGAAAAGTAGCCAGTACTTGATAAATAATTTATTAAAACTAACGATTAGGTACTCAAGAATAGTGGTAGAATTTCTAACGCAATATCCTTTTATATTTATCATTTTACATACTTAATACTTACAAATGTCACAGGGAAATCTTAAAATTTTAACTTCGTTTTCCATAATTAAATAATGTTGTGGTGTATGCTACTTATATCTGTCGACACAAGTAGTATGTAACACCAGTCGGAAGTGGAAAACCTGGCAGCAGAAGACTATGAAGGTCAACTTGAAGAAAACAAAAACGGAAATAGAAAAGAATTGTATAGAATATGAAGGAAAAATGATGTAGTTTTGCAAGTAAAATAATTAGTATATGGTTCTCATTTTACCAAGAGATTCTGTAATTTTGTGTCAAGTAATAAATCGGTTGTCCCCACCTATGTTCTCGTTCAACACAACGTCAAATGAGTAATTGGGTTATTTGATGGTTCATACCAGACATACTTCTAGAGGTCCAGTACATGAGATTCTATTTGGTCATCAAATTAAACTGCGTCACATTTAATACAGTCTTTTAACGATTAGTTTGTCAAAGATAAATGAAAACCTTTCGTAAGTTTTTGTATTTCTTCTAAGTTTAAGCACTATAGTCCATTCCATTTTTTATGGTTGTTGTATTTTCGAAATACCATATACAAATATCATTTTATATTATAAAGTAAAAGCAGTGTAGAATTTTTCATTACCAGAGTAGCAGACAACGTAATAAAAGTATTCATCAGTAAATACACTATACATTTAAACAAGTACATTGGTCACCAGTTATTGAGAATATTTATTCGTCTTAAATATTTCATTCATTTCAAAGTCGTATTTATGATACGCACTGCTGAGAAGTCTCATACTAGAATGAAATGACCGTCCAGTGCCTCCAGCTTTTCCATTGTGGTCTAGCTTAATTGATTCATGAATTCAACTATTAAATTTTCAAATAGTTTCTATTTAAAACCATTTCATCTTTCTTTTTTTCTAATATTTGATTTCATTGTTTATTTAGCTCCTACATCTGATAAAGCCAATCCAATTTCTGTGACAAAAGATCAAGAAGAAGCATCACATTCTACCCTGTCAGATGATATTCTATTTGTGGTAAGTGAAACTACTCCGTTAGCATTCAATGTATTTTATATTTTACCTATGTTAATAAAGTTGCTTGTTAGTAAAATGTTCTAGACTTTATAAGCTAACTATCATTGTGTTGATGGAGTTGTCAGTAAAATTTAAGTACGAAATATACTTTGAATTATCGATAATAACCTAATTTTATGATTTGAGGAAACTGTGTTACAAGAACTAGTAAATTAATGTTTAAAATTAGTTCAGTTTGTGAAGAAAAGTTGTTATCAGTCGTGTGAGTTGACTGGTATTTGATCAACATACACTCACGTATGAATACCATATTCATAGATCCTTTACTGTATTATTTACTACAGGGCAGGATGATCAATCAATGATAAGCATTGTGGAACGTAAGACACATATCCATTGAACTAAGTCCCCACACCCCATTTTTCACAAAAGAACGACTAGGGACGGTGGACAAAGTAAAATGGACTAATGATTTTAATTTAGCCAGTTTATCATGTACTCGGCTATGAGGCACAGTACACAGGAGGTGTTGATACTAGATAATTGTCTATTATTTTCTTTTCTTTTAATTTCATTCTAGGAATCTCATCTTGTCAATCGTAGTTCTGCTAAACATAAGAAGTCAAAGAACAGCAAAAGAAAACATAAAACAAAACATAAAAAACAACATAAGAGCAAGAAAGTTTCTCGTAAAGCACCAATTTCTTCTTCGGATTCAAACTCTTCTGATACTTCTGATTGAATTTTGACGGTTGTCAAATTTGTACATATGGTGTTTTTTTGTATATTTTCAAATTAATTTTCCAATTTACTACTTACCGCTACTACTACTACTACTACTGTTACCATGTTGTTTTGTAGCCTTCACATTCTTCTTCCCGACTAGAAATTTTTCATTGTATTTCTTTAAAGATGACCTCACGTATCGTATATCCTTCTTGAAATAAGCGTTTTGATTTCTGATTCTATTTTCTCTATATACAGAAAAATATTTCCATTTTTCGTTGCAGAGATTCTATTTTATGAATGAAATGATATATGATTATGTACTAATCGAAAAAGGAAAAAAAAGGGAAAGTGATATTATCAAAAGGATGTATTTCAGTCTGTATAATTTCATTCTCTACCACATTCTTTAGACGAATAACGAGTTAAAATTTATTGGCATTATTTCAGGTTATAAATTAAAAATTGAGTAAAAGTTTAAAAAAATCAACCAAAAAAGATCACATAGATACTAAACATTGAATAGTTGCTTTTCAAAAAAAAAAAGAATTAGTTACCAAAATGAACGAATCTTTATTTAAATACAAATGACATGATGTATAAATATTATGTAAGTAGAATGTAATAATAAAGTGAAATGTCATAGAAAACATATTTCTATTATGTAAAGTTATCATTCTATTCTATCTCTTAATACTTTGTATAATAAAGATTATAGAAAGACTTTAATAAAACAAAGTTTCTGTTTTACAATGTTCGATTGAAAATTAAAAAACTATATTCACTAGGAAGAAAAAGTTAATTTGTTTAAGCTATAACCTTAATGATATATAAATACGAGTCTATAACTATGTTTAATAACCATTTGTTTTAAGAAGTGTTAATTTGTAATAGGTATTCAGTGTTATTTTTCACTTTTCAAGGGACCATCTTACAAGAGTTTGCTTAGTACTGACAGATATGTTTGATTTTTTTTTGGTTGCTTTTAGTTATAAATAACACAAATTTTCAAGTAGGAAGTTCTTGCATACTTTTTGAAATCCTAAGATTAGTTATCGTTTAATATTTCCAAGCTGATAGAAGCGCGATTTTAAATTAAAGTAGTTCACTGAATAAATTTTCGACCATGAACTTTTAAAGAAACGCTCATATTTATACACAATATTTCCCTTTTTTAAAAAGCATATATTAAATGGCTTATATCAGTAAGAGAAGTATAATAAAATTGTGATATTGTTTATAGTAATTTCAATAGTTAACATCATCAGTCAGTTGAAGCTAGACCATCATGGAAAACCTGGGGGGCTGTTTCTTCCTATTGTGGGACTCAGCAGTGCACATCCACGATCCCGCGTCACGAGATTAGAACCCAGGACCTATCAGTTTCGCACACGAGTGCTTAACCACTAGACCACTGAGGTGGCCAGCATCCAACGGTGTTAATGTCTACCTCCAACCAATCCAGGAAATCGAGCGACACATCCACCATTGTATTCAGCGAGTTATTATCGCATAACAGACTCCATTGAACTCGACCGAAGTTAGACATTAACATCGTTGGATGCCGGCCAGCTCAGTGGTCTGGTGGTTAGGCGCTCGCTTGCGAGACTCATAGGTCCTGGGTTCGGATCTCGAGACGCGGGATCGTGGATGCGCACTGCTGAGTCCAATAATAGGACGAAAAGGTCTCCCAGTGCTTCCAGGTTTTCCATGGTGGTCTAGCTTCAATTGACTCATTATCGCAACTATTGAAATTACTATAATATCCACAAAACCCTTCTGATATTGTTTATAGTTGATTATACATATCTTCATATGACCATACTATTTCATTAAACTTCATATAGATTATTTAAACAATTTCAGGTCGACTATTTTCTAAAAGTCTATTCTGTTTCTTTAACTTCGCATAATGTTCGGATTAGTTTTCGTATATTCAAAGAGAAAGTGGATGAAGATACAGTTTAGTCTGACCCACTTGAAGAAACATTCTCAAGGAAATTAAAACAAGTCAAACTAGAATTGTTCAACCACTTGAAAATGACGTTGAAATTAACACTAAGTAAAACTAAATACTGAGATCACCTGAGTTCTATATTTATTACCTATGTGGGAAAATTTACTGAATTATGAAAATGCTAAAAGAATAGACAGAAAAACTAACAATTTTTATCTGCCGCCTTCAAAAACATGAAAGGTATTTTTCTGTGATGAGATTAGGATCGTCTGCTTTAAATGAAAGCGTTTCTTTCAAGTAGACATTTTTTGGTGTAAGAAAAGTTGAATTACGCTATTATGGACTCATATTTAGTATGAGGTCAATAAAATTACAAAGGATCTTTATGAACTGTATTCAATAGTTGTCATTTTATCTCGTGACACTATTAGATTTTGTGGAGATGGCTGGATTTTGTAGTCGTTATCACTCACTGATCTTAGTCAAAGAATTAGGAAGTACTGAATTAGTCTTTCATCCTAGTATGGGATTTAACTTGGTTCAAGACCTAGAGATCCAGGAACCAATTACTGATGTAGTCATGGATCGTTACAGCTGAGGAGTGACTTTGTGAAACGGAAACTATATCCACTGCTCCCTGGTTTTCATTCGTTGCGTAGTTCAAGTCAGCACACAGTGTAAACTGCAAAAAGTTTTTTTATTTATTAGACATAAGCTAGTAGTAATTATTGAGTTATGTTCCTTATACAACAATATCAATCGACGTGTAAGTTATGACGAAGCCTATTAATCATTTCACTACTTGTAGCTAGATATGCTCACTACTTTTGTAATTACACTTTTCATTGTAATCTGTTAGTTGGTTCATGTGAATTTTATTTTAAACTGATATCAGATTGTAACTAGTTTGTTTTTTTCTTTATAAGGGGATAAAATTTCATGCAGAAAAGGCATCACACTTTAATAATCAGATAGTTTGTATTTTCTGCTGTTTCTCGTTCCCTTTCTTTGACATAAAACACGCAATGATTATTACGCATAAATCTTAATTTGTGTGTAGATAACAGGAAGAATGTTTATAAAAAGTTCAATTGTTCATTTGCGAAAGGCTGTACTTGTAACGTCATAAATTATGAAAATTTTATCTGATAGTGTCTTGATTCTGTGGCATAAACCTTTTACAGTTATTTGAAAAAATCGAATGGTTGTAAAATTCAAGATTTCCCATATATATATGTATATGACATTCGATCGTCAATTAAATAAGACCAAGTCCAACTCGTTTAATTCGAGGTTTTGATCAGAACGATAGTGTTCTTGTGGTATTGAACTTTGTATTTTCATAGTGGTGTATTGTTTATATTCTTTAAAATAGGGAAAAGCATTTCATCAGCATCTTATGTGTTAGCTGCAAATAATATTTTCCAGATAACTTACTAATTATTTCGTAATAGTTTCGTTAACAATATGGAAGTCGTAGTTGCAAATTATTAACGCAGTGCGAGACTGTATCAGTCTTAATGTTGATGTTCTCTGAAAGACCTGAACTCCGTACTTTTCGCCTTAAAAGCTCAATACGTTTTTCACTGAGCTACTATAATTACCATAAAATGTTAATAAACATGTTATCTAATCAGTTAAAGATTTATTCTGTCAATGAGTAATTAGTGGGTTAATCTGGTTAAAAGTCTAGTCAATTAATGTTAATTATATAATGATTCATCCAGTTCGTTTCAAAATGTTATTTCTCAATTTTACTGAATACTAGTTTAACCTACTAATTGTTTTTTGGGTATTTTTTTTTCATAGTTTAAATCATGAGTCGATTGAAGCTAGACCACCATGGAAAACCTGGAACCACTGGACGGCCGTTTAGTCCCATTATGGGACTCCTCAGCAGTGCGCTTCCAGATCCTGCACTCGCGAGATACGAACCCAAAACCTACCAGTCTCGCGCCAGAGCGCTTAACCAATTGACCACTGAGCCGGCAATAAACGGTGGTCTAGCTTCAATTGACTCATGATTTCAACTATGAAAATACTTAAATCTCCACCAAACCCCTTATGAACTATAATTTTTTTCCTTCATCATTTTCTCTCTGATTGGGAAACTGTTTACCGGGATGTAATTCTTTAGTTGTTTATTTTTGTTAGCTCTACTCTAAAGTGAAGCTTTTGAAATGTCCGCATTCTAAAAAAAATTTTTCACAGTAAATTTTCTTTTTAAATATTTTTTGATAATGTGCTTATTTTTAGTAGATATATTCCAACAGATGGTAGATTAATTTGACTATATAACTAACTGCTAATTCTACCGCTGTTGTTGTTATTTTTATGATTGTCATAATTATTTTTTATTTGCCTTTCTATTCTAAAAAAAGAGAGATTATTTAAGATAGTGTTTAGCAATCTTGAATGTTTTGTATTGACAACATATTTACAAGAACAGATTGTAGTTATATTGACATGTTCATGGCTGTAGTCACCTGATAGAGTACTGATTTTAATCTATAACTCAATCAAAAACTTAAAGCAATTAGTCCATCTGATAAATTTCGATAGTGTAAAAGGAAGATGACGATTATCAGAACTATGTGATCTATTAGCGCAATACATTTCGAACAATCTGATCACACAGATACTTGTTAAGAACATTTACATATATAAAAATGAAAGGTCAACTAGACCAGAAATGAAGGGTAAAAGGAGATAAGGATAATAAAGAAAATAATATGAAAACAATTTAAAATCTCGTTACTCTAGATAAGAGGCTAATATTACTTCAATTTCTAAACATCAATAGTGTAATATCGTTTCATTAATATTACGTATGAAGGTGTAAAAGCGTAAACCTTATTTTGCTTAATTTTCTATTCATTTCATTTAAAAATAAAACATTAAATTTCAATGTATTTCATGTAGATAAGTGTGAAGGAAACAGTTGTTACTACAATTAATTCTACATTTTGTATTTAATTCAACTTGACTTCAAAAACCATCATCAATAATAAAGAACTATTAAGGAACTGTAATGAACAAAACACGATTGGGGACAATCGAATGTATTTAGACACACAAATCTCACTGAATTCTGATAACCATACAGTAAACAGTTAATTTGCAAAACAACAATCAATTGTCTCAATCTTCACTGTTCCTTCTGTAAATATCAGTTCATCTTCTCTAATTTCATTGTTCATGCATTTTCGTACCAATTGTGCTTCATTTCAGTTCTTTCCTTATCGGTCTTCTGCCAAAATACATTCTATGCCTGACCATTACCAAATACTACTAATGTGGATATAAGTAGATCACACCACAGAACCGCTGATTAATCGTGTTATCCACATATCTACTGAGTCCTGATAGCCACTTGTTTGTTCAATTAGGTGAAGTTTGAATTCAGTTTGTATTGTTTACTTGAACCTTCGCATTGATGTTTAGGACTGCAATCGATCAGGTACTTATTGGCATATATGCATACTGTGCGTATCGCCACGACAGTGCATTAATTCACAAGCATTATAAGCAAAAATGGACAGTGACTCGCAGTAAAATCCAGGACGCGCGTTTCATGTTATTTGGGACTCGTCAGATGGATCCAGTACTTTAATACCTATAAATTAAAGACGTTCCTTTGAGGCCATTACTATGAACCTGAACCTATATATCCATAATGAGAAAGTTGTAAATCTCTCACTACCTTGATGACTTCAATTTTTAATTATCTTATTACATCATCTCTTGTTTAATGCTTACAGTTACAAATT